AGGAGATCAACCCTGACTGTTCTTTAGAAGGCCAGATCCTGAAGATGAAACTCAAATACTTTGGCCATCCTAATGAGAAGGAAGGACTCCCTGGAGAAGAGCCTAATGCTGGGAACGATTGAGGGCAAAAGAAGAGGACCGCAGAGAACAAGGTGGCTAGATGGAGTCACTGAAGCAGTCGGCGTGAGCAGGATTTTAAGGAACAGCTTGAGGAGGAAGGAGAGGAGACTTGAGAGGACCAAGAAACAAAGGAAGAAAAGACTTCTTTGTTCCTGAACTATTATTTGCAAATAAATCCCAGCTCTTTTATGAAGCTTTGTAATTCCAGAACACAGGCTACCATATTTTGCTTATAACTCAGTTTCTGCATAGGATACTACTGGGTTGGGCAGTTGTGACTGATTTTGTGAGGTCTCCCCTGAAAATACTTGCTTATATTTAATTGTTTCAGCAAAATAGTATTCTCTTTTAATGGTTCTTTTCATTTCCTGGCTTTGTGGGAAATTGTACAATGACTTAAAAGTTCAGGCTGTGTGCATGAATGCATGGATTTATTTAATTTAATTTATTCAACCCCAAGGCCTGGGAGAGCAGCCAGGTCTTTAAGGCTTTCTAGAATGTCAGGAGGGCGGTAGCCAGATGGGGGAATCTCATTCCAGAGGGCAGGCAACATGACAGAGAAGATGTGTTTCCGGGCTCCCAATAGGAGACTTTGCTTTATTGAAGGGATCCAGAGTGACCCAACTTGGTTGGATCAAACTGGCTTAGCTGAAGCCACAGGAGATAGGTCCGTGATGACGAACCTATGGCACACATGCCGCAGGTGGCACACAGCACCTTCTCTGGGGGCATGTGAGCCATCGCCCCAGTTTAGGTCTGCTGCGCATGCACGTGTGCCTCCCAGTAGCCAGCTGGTTGTTGGGTCTCTGTCACTCATGTGTGGGGGGGCCATGTGTGCATGGGGGGGTGAGGCACATGCACGGAGGACGTGTGCGCATTGCATTTTGGGGGTTCAGGCGCGTGCTTTGGGCACTCGGTCCGGAAAAGGTTAGCCATCACTGAGATAGGTGGTCCCTCAAGTCACCAGGCCATAGGCAATCTAGAACTCCGTAGCTCATTAATAGCACCTTGAATTGCATCCAGAAGCATATTAATAACCAGTTCAAATTGCAAAGCAGAGATGGTACATGGGCATACCAGGGCACACCAATTACTGCCCGCACCGCTTCATTTTGGACCAGTTGAAGTTTCTCAGTGGTCTTAAAGTGAAGCTCCATAGAGACCACATTTCAGAAGTCAAGTCTTGAAGCAACATAGGGCCTGATGGCTCCTGATCTAGGAAGGAACGCAACTGGTACACCAGGCAAAGTTTTGCAAAGGTTTTCCCGGCCACAGTTGCAACCTGCTCATTAAGCAGGGTCTATAAGTCCAGCAATATACCCAGATCGAGCACCATTCTTGAATGGGGAAGTGCGCCCTGATGGCTAACTCTGCCCACAGTCTGGAATTCAGTCCTGAGGTTGACTTAGCTCTCCATCCTCCCAAGGTCGGTAAAATGAGGATCCAGATTGTTGGGGAGCAATTTGCTAACATTTGTCAACTGCCCAGATTGTATTGTTAAAGCACTGTGGGGTGGTATATAAATTTTAAATGTTGTTGCTATTGCTATTCCATCCAAGGCTAAAGATGGAACATCCTGGGTTCTGGATGGCTGTAAATCCATAGCTACTACCATAGGATTGAATCAGAGATAGTTCTTCCCCATAGATAATTCGTACAATATGTAGACACTAAGATGGGGCCTACTTATTTATTTGCTGAAATGGTGCCATAATTCAACAGAAATGATATGCAGTAATCTAATTTCCCAGAAGAAAAGAGAAGTATCAGAATAAGAAGTCATGAACTTCGGACACTGGGTTTGCTTTGCCAAGGTTTTCTTTTTTCTCAGAGAGAACAAGTGCATTTTTCAAATAGTTGTTTGACAATACCGAATTCCAGAAGGACTGAAATGCAGGGCTTATGTTTTGCCTGCTAAAGAAGAAGAATCAATTAATTCTCGTTTCACCTTGCAGGAACAGCCCTAATGAATAGTTAAATGTATTCCTGGTGGAAATTAAATTCAATTTATAGTCTCTGGGGAAACATTCTTCCTAATACGATGAGTGTTTTTGCATTCTCTGTACTGTATGTTGGAGAACAGAATAATTCAGGAGCCGTTCACCATTTACTGGTAAACTCTTTCTGAATATTTGCAGTCAGATAGTTCTGATTAGAACAAATTAGTGTTTGAGAGGGGAAAAATTAAAGCAACTTCTGTTTGGAGATATAACAATAGTAGGAATTTATATGTTTTAAAATAACATACATTTTAAAAAGTTCAATAGAATGCAATACAAAACACAATTTAAATAAAGAAGTTTTTAAAGTATTCTGTATTCCTAACTCGGAGCATTTAAGATTAATAATTGATTATTTCAGTTACATCTAGCATTAGTCCATGTTTTTCTCTTATTATTAAAACTGGAGCAGGGGTGAAATGTAAAATTTGTTACTACCAGTTCTGTGGGCATGGTTTGGTGTGGGGGTGGTAATGTGACTGGGTGGGCGTGGCCAACTTTTTTTTTTTTTAACTTTTCAAAGCATTTTTTCGAATGCTTTAAAAGCTTCTGCCGATCAGGCAACTCAACTGGGATCGTCAGAGAGGCTTTTTAAAAAATACCTCTCTGCCGATCCCAGCTGAGTTGCCTGATGGCAGAAAGGTATTTTTTAAAAAGCCTCTCTGACGATCCCAGCTGAGTTGCCTGATGGCAGAGAGGTATTTTTTAAAAAATACCTCTCTGCCGATCAGGCAACTCAGCTGGGATTGTCAGAGACTTTTCAAAGCATTTTTTTAACCACCTCTTCAGCCAAGAGGTTGCAGAAAAAAAGGCTTTGAAAAGCCTCTGATGATCCCAGCTGAGCCGCGCGATCATCAGAGGCTTTTTTTTTAACTTTTAAAAGCATTTTTTCGTTGGAAGAGATAGTAGAAAAAATGCTTTTAAAAGTAAAAAAAAAAAGCCTTTGATGATCGTGCAGCTCAGCTGGGCATGGGGGGGGGGACAGGGATTTTTGCTACCGGTTCTCCGAACCGCCCGTCACCATCACTACCGGATCGGGCGATCCACTCCAAACCGGGAGCATTTCATCCCTGAACTGGAGGCTAAAACATACAAAAAATGGTTGCTGGAACTGGGTATGTCTAGTTTGATGAAAAGAAGGATCAGGGGAGACATGATAGCAGTGTTCCAGTATCTCAGGGGCTGCCCCAAAGAAGAGGGAGCTATTCTCCAAAGCACCTGAGGGCAGGACAAGAAGCAATGGATGGAAACTAATCAAGGAGAGAAGCAACTTAGAACTAAGGAAAAATTTCCTGATACTTAGAACAATTAATCAGTGGAACAACTTGCCTCCAGAAGTTGTGGATGCTCCAACGCTGGAAGTTTTTAAGAAGAAATTGGACAACCATTTGTCTGAAATGGTATAAGGTTTCCTGCCTGAGTAGAAGACCTCCAAGGTCCCTTCCGTTATTCTATTCTGTTCTACTCCATTCCACTCCACTCCACTCCACTCCACTCCACAGATGGCTTATAAGTAGAAGAATGTAGCAGGTTCTTAGCATTAAAATGTGTCTGAAATACCATCATTTCAGGCACATTGTTGCACAGACTTAAATTCAGAACTCAGCATGGTTTATTTGCAAATAAGCATCGGTACAATTTGTGCTGTTCCTAACATGGAAGGGAGAATGCGTTTGACTGGGTGAAATCTTTAATATTTCTTGAAATCTACTTAAATGATCGCCATCAGAATCTCATAATTATTTTCCCTTTTAAAACACAATGTCCCACAGCATGATTTCTTTCCGGTGTAATTGAGTATGTCTGTTCTAATGGCCATCATCTTTTCTGTATATCCAAGTAGTCCTCCGTTTACGATCATTTGTTTAGTCATTTTTTGAAATTATAGTGGCACTGAAAAAGTGACTTATGACTGGTTGTCACACTTATGACCATTGCAGCACCGCCATAGTTATGTAATCAAAATTCGAGCACTTGGTAACTGGCATCTATTTATGATGGTTGCAGCATCCTGAGATTGCGATTACAATTTGCAATCTTCTAACAAACTGAATGGGGGAAACTGGTCTTGCTTAATGATGGCCTGATTCACTTAACAACTGCATTTATTCGTTTAACAACCAGGTCAAAAAAAGATCATAAAAGCAGGTGCAACTCACTTAACACCCTCTTTGCTTAAGCGATGGAAATTCTGGTTTTTAAGTTGAGGACAACTTTATCTAATGCAAACGGACTGCTGAATGGAGCTTGCTTTTGAGCAGTTTAGAAGTCTGTTTTTTGAACCCATTCTGGGAAATCCTCCTGTGGCAGACACAGCGGAAATGCTTGTGGGAATTAATTTATATGGTGGTGGGAAAAAGCTTGCCATCCTGATTAGGTTCTGCAGTCTTGTGGCATTGCAAGCCAACAGATGCCCTCTGTTAAGAAACAGATCAGTGTACAAGTAGACACTTAAAGAATTATTGTGTCTACTTGTATACAGATCTGTTTCTCCTTCACTACTGTACAAATTACATTAAACAAAATGTTAAGACTTAAATGGTGAAATGTTCCATCAGGCTCATGAATGAACTCTTTGAGTTCATTCAGGAGCTAATATTCTGAAAATAATTCCTTCACATTTAATGTTCTGTCAGACTCGTGGATTAACTCTTGAAGTTCATTCAGTGTCTAATATTCTACTTGAAAATTAAGTAAAAGGAAGGCAATCAGGCCTCTCAGCTGTTTCAAGGGAGAAAAGATACAAACTGCAAATTTCACAGTTCCATCCTGATTTCAAGAGGGTGGGCAGGGAAGATTAAAGAAGGATGTACAATGCTGGCCTTTTCTAGATCCAGGGAGATAATTTATGGTGTAATACACTTTTTCATTTATTTCCAGGCAAGCTGTGATTAAAGGATCCCTGCCACATCCATTTGCTCTGACATTATTTGGTGACACCCTATATTGGACAGATTGGACGACTCGCTCCATCCTGGCCTGCAACAAATACACTGGACAGAACCTCCGTGAAATACATTCCAATATCTTTTCTCCCATGGATATCCATGTCTTCAGCCAACAGCGGCAGCCCAGTGGTGAGTCTTTCTTGCTGTCCCCAGAATGCCCAATGTGGAAATTCTCATTCATTTTGTAAGTTTTTCAGACTGTCACACGTACAGTTTATACAATGTAGGTACCTAGCCGCTGTGCTTATTTTTGGGGGCGGGAGTGGGGGGATTAGGCAATATTTTTGTGGTTGAAGAAATTGAATAGTAAACAGAAGAAATTGAAGACTTAAAAAGAAAAAGAACAAAGGAAATATAGCTAAATTTAATGCATGTTAAGTGTAGTTCATTTTGTTTGCCAGACAGAAAGATCAAATGCCTTAGTCTTACATCCTATGACTGTTGCAGTATTCCCATAGTCACGCAATCAACATTCAGGCGCTTGGCAACTGGCATGTATTTATGATGGTTGCAGTGTCCCGGGGGTCACATGATCACCATTTGCCACTTTATTTGTTTGTTTAATCCGTTTGCTGCTCATCTCCTAGCGAACGACTGGGCGGATTCTGATAAGTCAGTGGGTGAAACCAGATTTGGCTTAATGGTGTTATTCACCTAACAGCTGCAATGATTTGCTTAACAACTGGCAAAAAAAAAAAAAGATGATAAAATTAGGCATGATTTCCTTAACCACCTTGCTTAGTGACATAAATTCTGGTCCCAATTGTGGTCATAAATTGAGGATTATCTGAAAAAAAGGGTTTAGACAAACCATATAAAGAAATATGACCATGTAAGTTTACTTATCGGAAGATTTGAAAATTCCAGGGAAAACTTTAAAAGTTTACTTATGGCCTGTTCACAAATGCGCAAGAGACTCTCTCTTCCCAAGTGGCACTACTGACTATTGAGTCCTTCCTGAAGGAACCTTTTCTGTTCGTTCTGAAGGCATCTTCTCTCTTAGTTGGTCTCCAAGAGTAGAGATGACTGTGGTTCAACCTATATTTATAGGAAGCCAGAGAGAGCAAATTTTTCCATGGACTACACTGTCCTACACTGTTCTAGTAGGGCTTTCCATTTTCCTTTACACATGCATGTACAGATCCACTGTACATAAATATCCATCCCTGCAGTTCAGATACTACATGTAATTGTCAGGCCTGCAGTAGTGGTGAAATCCAGTTTTTTTTACTACTGGTTCTGTGGGCGTGGCTTGGTAGGCGTGGTGTGACTTGGTGAGCATGGCAGGAGAAGGATACTGCAATATCCCCATTCCCACCCCACTGTGGGGCCAGCCAGAGTGGTATTTGCCGGTTCTCCGAACTACTCAAAATTTTCGCTACCGGTTCTCCAGAACCTGTTAGAACCTGCTGGATTTCACCCCTGGCCTGCAGGCCTGCCACATTTACTACTGTGGGAAATTGGGAGGGGGGATTGTATGGAGCATGAGCAATATATAGTCATAATAACATTCCTTTCTCAGAGAGTCAAGGACATCTTGCCCTGCACCTGGAGGGTTGGAACTGGGAGGTATCTCCAGTTGGGACGGTCTTTGGATTGGACCATGTGATGGACATGTGGGTGCTGGGCAGGGACTTGGACTTTCCTTTGGGTGGGGAAAACCTGGAAGCTTCAGATTCGGATTGTCCCAGGTGTGCCAATATGACATCTCTAATAAAATGGAACTTTGAGGAACTTCAAGTCTTCTTTCGTTGCGAGTGTTACTTGGAACCCTGACATTAATGTTGTCTGCCTTGAATTGCTTTGGAGGGTATTCAACACCCATATTCATTTTATCTTTAACACTTTTCCCCTCTTTATAAGGCAGGTTTGCGACTAACAGGGAAAACTGTTCTGTGCTTTTTGTATTTGACAGCTCCAAACCCATGCAGGAATAATAATGGTGGCTGTTCCCATCTGTGTTTGATGTCTCCCATCAAGCCCTTTTATCGGTGTGCCTGTCCCACAGGTGTGAAACTCCTTGAGAATAAGAAGACTTGCAAAGATGGTAAGTTGGGCATCAGCACCAAACAGGGATGTCAAAACAGTCAGGGAGATGGTTGCGGCCAGGTGATGAAAGCCCCATCCCCTTTTTTATATGCATCACATTACACCTGCCACCAAAGTAATCCAACGGGAAGATTTAATATTCATTTAATTTATATCCCGCCTTTATTGTTCTTTTGTAAGAAAACTCAAGGTGGCAAACATAATTGTGCTGAACCGCTCCATCATACATACACATAACCGTGGTTTAATGGGTTTATTAATATGCCCCAACAGTTCCCCTTCACCAAAAAACCAGAAATATCCCAATTAAGTCCAGCCACCAGCAGACCAATGCTAGTCCATAGAGCGATGGCCAATGAGTCCACAAGGCACCTGAAAGTTTTCCAATCAAAATAAAACCACCAGACAAAATTAAATCCACAATAGTAAGAAGGTTCATAAGGCACAATCCAAGTGACGGTGTCAATCCAAAGCAAGGCAGGAATCACAACAACCAGAAAACACACAGCTAGAGAATGAACACCTTATTATTCCCAGCATCACCTCCTTCTGTCTGCTGTGTTAAATAGCAAAGCTGCTGGTGCAGCCCATCAAGAAGAACAAGGCTGCCTCCTCATGAGTGATCTGGCTGATCTTCTCTGCTCCTGCCTTTTCTCTGCCTTCCGTGTTCTTGGATCAGGTGCAGAAGGCAGTTCCTCTTCCTCATCCCTGACTGGCTGCAGCTGCATGCTTTCCCCATTTGATGCCTCAGGGCTGTCCTGCTGCAGCTATGCTTCAGCCAAATCACTCTCAGATGGCTACTTAGAGCCACTGACCAACTCCCCTCCTAACGTTCCAGGAACTGGTTCATCCTCTCACCACCACCACCCGTCCCAGCTGACATCTGAAGAGGTATCTGGGGAAGCATCCGGGGGAGTGATCACACTAATACTCCTTTCTCTTCCGATTTTCCCCACAACAACCACCTGGTAGGATGGGGTGGGCTTGAGAGAGAGTGATCACCCAGTTGGCTTTCATGACTAAGGTAGGACTAGAACTCACATCCTTCTGGTTTCTAACCTGATGCCGTAAGCCAGTGATGGCTAACCTTTTCCGGACTGAGTGCCCAAAGGGCGCAGCCGAAGCCCCAAAATGCAATGCGTGCATGACCCCGTGCATGACCCCCGCCCCAACCCCCAAAATGCAATGCACGCGCACCCCATGCATGCACACATGCCCCACGCATGCGCGGCAGAGACCCGACAACCAGCTGGCCAGCGGGAGGCGCGTGCATGCGCGGCAGACCTGAACTGGGGCGACGGCTGGCATGCCCACAGAGAGGGCGCTGCATGCCACCTGTGGCATGCATGCCATATGTTCGCCATCACGGCCTTAAGTAAACCAGATTGGCTCCTAATAATATATGAATGCCCATGGTAATTTTCCCTGACTAGGAATGGCCATTGGTGATGAATTGGCCAAAATTAGTAAAAAATAAAATTAAATTAAAAAATCCTCTCTCATCAAAGTTTGATGAAGCAGGATTTGGAAAAGGCATTTTCTCTGCATGGCATCTCATCTGTTATTCAGTTGCCCATAGAACACAACTTTGAGAACTAAAACTGTGGTTCATTCAACTTTTCCCCTTTATGCCACTTCCCAATCAAGTCAATAAACCTCATTTTTAAGTGGTTTAAAACAAAAAGAGGAAATGGAAGAAAGTAAGCCCAGCTGTGCAGTGCTGAGTTTTAACTTTTTCCTCAGGGGAAAAAAAATACATGTCTGCGATCCATCAACCCCTTCACTGTTGTAATTGTATCAACAAAAAATTTTCTTTCCCAAGCTGAATAAAAATCAAGGAAAAGATGTATTAGTGATAAATTACTTGGAACAAATATTTTCTGCAAGGGATCAAACATGCCCATTTTAACACAGTAATTCAAACCACGCAGGCTCTCAAGATAGTCAAACTTTTTCTCTGCAACTTGTGTGAAATATTGTGTGGAATTTATAACATTTATACTACTTGGCCCTGATGGAGAATCTGTGCAGTGAAGGTGAAATCTGGCTGACCTCACTAGTGTAGTTTCCATGACGACTAATTTTTCGGGGAGGCAGGGAGTCCTCACAATTTATAGCAGAGAGAAACCTTTTTGTAAGTCTCTCGTTTTTAATTCACTCCTTGAAGGCCCAGTTGCCCTTTGCTTCCTGTTTCTAGCAATTCCAAAAAACTTTAGGGAAAACTTTTTTTTAAGGAAATTGCATAAAATTAAATCTGCGGTTAAATGATTTTTTATGGCTGATATCACTGTCAAGCCACTTAAGTTCAACCCTTAAGCATGAATGTGGATCAGAAACTCTTTTCTACAACTTAAGTGCCAAAATAATCCTAGAGAGCAAAGAGCCAGCCAACGTAGAGAGAGAAGGGAAAAAAGGGCTCGCTGGTAAGATGATCTTATGGTGGCTTACAGAGTTGTCTTAAAAATGTTTGTGGTGTGTAAAACACTCCCTGATATTGGTCATGCCATTCATATGTGGCTGTGGCTTTTTTTCCCTGGTATGATACAATCGTGACTGAAGAATCAGTCGGTTTGGCTTTTGAAAGAACATGCATATCCTTGGCATAATCTGTATATGATTTCCTCCATTGCTAGAGTAAACACAAATTTCTATGGCCAAGCAAGACAGTTGTTAAGTGAGTTTTGCCCGGTTTCACAACCTTTTCTTGCCACTGGTTGTTAAGTGAATCACTGCGATTGTTAAATAAATAAGTAACCCCATTGTTATGTGAATCTAGTTTCCCCGTTGACTTTGCTTGTCAAAGGGTCGCAAAAGCTGATCACACGACCTCAGGACAAATGAAGCAGTTGCCAAGCATCTGGATTTTGATCACGTGACCATGGGGATGCTGCAACGGTCATAAGTGTGAAAATGGTCATAAATCACTTTTTTCAGTGCTGTTGTAATTTTGAGTGGTCACTAAATGAATGGTTATAAGTTGAGGACTACCTATAGTTCCAGAGACCCACAAATACATGTATAGGGTTGTCTTCTCCATTCAACAGATTGGCTCACTTTCTCTAGCAGTGAAATTCTGAAGTACTTGCACCGCCATGACGGAGAGCTACCCAAAAAAGTATCTTCATCTTATCCTGTATTTCTTTGTTCCTCCTTGTGTGGCTTTTATCAATCAGATCTAAGTTCATCTAACATCAGAAAAACCTGCCTGAAGTTAACTTTCATTCCCCAAAAGATGGACATTCCTTAGTTCTGCCCCATCCTGAGCTCAAACTAAACTAAATTATATGGATTCATATAATACACTAACCTCTGCTAAGGAAACAGAATGGATGGGGCCATTGAAGAAGCTATTCCCAAGTAGTTATAAAATTGTCTTGTTCACACGATCTCATAAGTAGTGCCTGAATCCTTCTGCTCAGAAGAGGGCCATGTGCTCTTCTACACCAGGGGTCCTCAAACTACACCCCATGGGCCGGATACGGCCTTCCCAAGCCATTAATCCGGCCCACGCAGGACCACACTGCTGCCCCGCTCACATTGCCCCGCCTACCCGCCATCCACCTTCTGGAGGCCAAAAACGGGCTCATTTTTGGCCTCCCCATCCTCCAGAGACAGAGAGAGAAAGGGGGATACACACACACACACACACACACACAGAGAGAGAGAGAGAGAGAGAGAAGTCCCTCATACACACCCAAGGCAGCCACCACATCCCTTCACTAACCTGCTTTCCACCCCCAGGAGCATAACAAATTAAAGTTTAATTTGTGTGTATTGTTTGGACTGCTAAATTGGTCATGCCCGCCCAGTCACATGACCACCTAGCCATGCCCACCCAGCTGGTCCAGCCCAGGGGTGGATTGTACTTACCTTTACTACTGGTTCGCGATGGGATCACAGGCGCGAGTGTTGCTCGCGCGCGTGCCTTGCTTCTGCGCATGCGCAGATCGCCGATGATGACATCCGGGGCGGTGGGCGAGGCCTCCCGCCCGTTTTACTATCGGTCCTTGCGAACCGGTCCAAACCGGGGGCAACCCACTGCTGGTCCAGCCCCCCCAACAGTCTGAGGGACTGTGAATTGGCCCCCTGTTTAAAAAGTTTGAGGACCCCTGTTCTAGACTCATGATATGGCCTTGAGCTTCAAGAAGGCAGATTCTGAGTTGAGTGTGGTGTGGAAAACCCCAGCAGTAAGAAGCAGAAAAAGTCCATTGAAGGGGGTGTGAACCTCTTGTCATCTCTTTTGAAAAAGCTGGGCTTATTTTCCTGGTCTCACACACAGAAGCTGTACAGTCCCAGAAAATCATGGATTACAGGATGCAACATAATCAGTCACCGCCTTAACACTTGAGTTTGTTTCTTTTTATTTTTTTCCCCCACAGCTTCTATAATGAAAGGTTTCTCTCTCTTCAGCCCTTGTGTGCTGATGGGGACGGATGAGAGGATCTTGGGAATAGATGAAAGGGAACAATAGACCAGAGAAAAAAAGAGAGAGGAAAAAAGTCCTGTTTTGCAAGCCGTACCACAAGCTGTGTAGATTTTGTACTCTGCATTTAATGGCAGTGAAAATGAAATCAACTTTTAATTCCTAAAAAGGGAACTGCAGGGGCATTCTTTTTTTTTCATGTGGGTGATAGGCTATTGCCTAAAAGTTAGGGATGGTCAACATTTTCAGTTGAAAGCTGATGCGATGGGAAGGTCTGGGGGCCACATCTGTGAATTCCCCGTGTTGCTGTTCACACAGATTTATTGCCTGCCTCGATTAGGGCCACTGCAGAGCGGAGCACAAACTCTGGTGATGTATCTGGGAGGAAGTAGAGGGAAAGCTCCCCCCACCTCCCAAGCGACTTGCGGTTGCAAGTTGCTGATATTCCACCACAGAAAAGCATTTGTTCCAAGCAGGACTGCAGGATGGGAGAGGGAGAAATTGCTCGCAGCTTCCTTCCTCCTAGAGAATGTTTGCTTCCGATTGCTGGCACCTCAGTACCCTAAGCATTGAGACACCAGGCATCTGCTTCTGAAGGCCAGTCGATCAGTTGGAGAAACGGTTCAGCTGGAGCATCTGCCAGACATCTCTTTCCATTTCTAAGCTGATCAAAGTGATGAGTTCAGAAGGCTGTTCTTAAGCTGTTAATGGCAAGGGGAGTCCAGAGTCTTGAGATGGCCGGAAGGAGGAAATAGTGAGGAACCAAACTAGGTCGGTCACTGGGACCAGAGGTTTAGTTTTCCCAGCTTTTGGACTCGTGCTGGAGCCCATCCTCAGGGAACATCTCTATACTGGAATGTATGTTATGGGCTATTCTATGTGTTGTATTTATGTGGTTGGGTATGGCTTCCTATTGATTGATTGCTGTGCTGCTGGCTTTTGGCTATTGTTTCTTGGGCTTCCAGTCCTGGATTCCTAAGTACCTGATAAGCTGGTGATAAATCAGCACTCCTGTTGACTAACAAGAGGGCTTCAATCACTTCCCTGGCTACCTTTGTACCTACTCGGCCTATAATTCAATTTGCCTTCATTCCTAGGAAATGTTGAGCTCTTTCTCCCACCAGACCCACCTTGCAAAGGTTAAATGGCATCATTCCTTCCTTTACTAACATTTCCCTGCTGCTAGACTCATTGACTGATGGTGGGTGGGTCATTGGCTACCCATGATGTCACTGGGATCTAAATAACCATGACATTCCTGTATGTTTTCAACAAAGAGGCAGGTGACCACAGAAATGATTTTAATTTTAATTTGGGTTTCATCTATGCAGGAGCGATGGAGTTGCTACTGCTGGCCCGAAGGACGGATTTGAGGCGGATCTCTTTGGACACTCCGGATTTCACAGATATTGTGCTGCAGTTGGAAGACATTCGTCACGCCATTGCCATTGACTATGACCCCGTGGAAGGGTACATTTATTGGACAGATGATGAAGTGAGAGCCATCAGGCGTTCGTTCCTCGATGGCTCAGATAGCCAGTTTGTTGTACAGGCACAAATTGCACACCCTGATGGCATTGCTGTAGATTGGGTGGCCCGAAATCTTTACTGGACGGATACGGGGACAGACCGCATTGAAATCACGAGGCTTAATGGGACTATGAGGAAGATCTTGATCTCAGAAGACCTGGAAGAGCCAAGAGCTATAGTTTTGAATCCTATGATGGGGTAAGGCACATATTCTTATTGTGAAGGTTTTTTAAAAATTAAGAAATACCATATTCTCCAAGTCAAATCTATTGTTCATTTCAAGATGCTTTCCCTGATTCAGAAATATGAATCTCCCTTATTTACTGACCATGAATAATTTCTGGTGGTGGCTCTCAGTTTTAGAGTACTTAAATTAGGATTATTTGGGACCAAGAGGAACTTTCTAGCTTGTTTTAGAATAACAGAATAACAGAGTTGGAAAGGACCTTGGAGGTCTTCTAGTCTAACCCCCTGCTTTAGCAGGAAACCCTATGCCAAGATTAGCCTGGAATGTAAGGCCCCTTTAAAAGTGGCTGAATTTTTTACAAGGCTACTGACCAGGCTGCAAGAGATTCGTTGAAACCATAACAAAGTCGAGGGACTTCCGGTTGGTGATTTGCAGCGACAGGGTGTTGAGTGAGAGCTCGCTGCTCCTCAACACCTTTTAACATCGCGTTTTGGGGATCCCCTCGGGGGACGCAGGACCCGGAGAGCCCTGCGGGCAAAAGAGGAAGCCAGGCAAGCGGGAGGTGGGTGCGATCACCTCTCGCTGGACCAGGCGGCTCTGCCTAACCAACGCGGTGAGCCGGCCATTGATGGCGGGCGCGAAGCAGCAATAGCCAACAAAGACGGGAAGCTAAGAAGAAGATCGGAGGTGCGGTGACAGATTCAAGCCTATTCCCCTATACCTACGATCGTGCGGCAGAGAGGGGATCGGTGGTGTCGGGAGAGGAGTGCTCGGAGCGGCGAGAGGCAGAGACGGAGAGGGTGGAGCAGCTTGTACTCCCGGCGATCCGACAAGCCGAAGAGCAGACGAGAAAACGGGGAGAGTGGATTGCGTCTGCAAGGAGCTTTGGAGAGTGTGGTGTGGTGAGAGAGTAAAAGAAAAAGGAAAGACTATTGGTGTGGCTGGCTTTTGGTACTGGGATTGAGTGGAAGAAAGCAGAAGAAATACAGTGATTAGCTGTTTGAGGCTTTTAGCAAACAGGAAGTGCTTCCATTGAATCGGAAGAGTGGAACAGCAGCGGTTGAACAAGAAGACGCTCTGGCAGAGGCTATTACCATCGAGTTTGGTTGGAGCCCAGCAAAATGGGAAATTGAAGATTTCCTATTTGTACTCTAAAATTCCGTAAATACTATAAACACTATAAAACAATATATTTATACCCATATATTTATATGTTTATATCTTTCCTATCTTTCTCTTGAGTATATGTGATATTAATAAGTGAACTCTGTTTTCCTCTCTAACTTTATAATTTTATAATTAATATTAATTAGATCTCTTAAGCTATTTTATAGATATATACAAAAAAAAAAAAAAAAGGTTGATTATATATGAGAATTTAGATTTCTATAATTATTACTAGTTAAGAGAAAAAAGGGTTGGATTTGCATCTTACTTATTAAATTATTATACAGGATTTTATATCTACTTATATTTATTGTAATTTATTTATACCTATTTATACTTATTTATATCTATTATATCTATTTATATCCAACCTTTATTAAGATCTGAACTTAGAATTTATTAGTTCATTAACTTATTGTGGTCAACTTATATAATTTAGAATATCTATCTGTATTTATTTATATCAATACTACCTATCAGGAACTGAAAATAGAATTTATTAACTTAAAATAATTACTTGTATTGCTAGCCTTTAACAATTTATATATATTATTTACTCTTTTCTAAGATTGAATTTAGATTTTACTAAGTGATTAATTGATTTGTATCGATATTTTGTTTATCTATTTGGAAGAGAACTATATAATTGTATAATTAGTGATTGTTAATTGCTGGAAACTTTATAGTAGCCCACTACAGTACTTTGGAAATTTAGAACCTAGTATTAATTGGAACTTACTGAGAGTGCAGAGAGGACCAATAAAGGAGCGAAATAAAGGTCTAAGAAAGCTCCTCAGAGAAAACGTGGCAAGTGCCACTGGATGAGAATTTGGAGAAAGATAGAGGAGATAATAAGAGATCAAAAATTGGTTCTGAAAGAAATGGCAAGTCTGACCTCCACAATTGCAAAAACTGCTAAAAAAGCGACATCTATACCTACCCTAGCGATGTCTTCCCCAGCCACCCAGAAATCAGTAGAAGGTCTCCAGAAACTAGACAAACCCCCTATAACTCCTACACTGCAAACGGTACAAACATCCCTCCAGTCAATCCAAGAAACAATGCTTGCGATGCAAGAAAAACTTTTGAATAGTCACTCCGAATTAAAATCAGACATCCATGCTCTTGATTTTAAAATGAATGAGATTCAAACTGCTATTGCTAGTAACGAAAATAGAATTTTAAAAGCAGAACAAAGAATTGAAAAAAACGAGAAAAAACTGGACACAGTAGACCAAACTTTGTCGGCACAAAACAAAGAAACGGAAGACGCGCTGATCCAACTTGAGATGGACAAGGCCTCGTTTTTCTTGCGTTTCCAGAACATCCTGGAAGATAAAGATGAGGATTTAGGTGACAAGATAGCGGAGTTGATTGCAGAAACTCTGCAGCGAGACAAGCAGGAAATAATCCGTGAGATTGATGAGGTGTACAGGGTCCAGACAAATTACGTAAGAAGAAACAGACTCCCCAGAGAGGTCCATGTGCGCTTTGCTAGAAAAAAAGTTAGGGATATCCTGTATAACATAGCTCGGGAGGAAAAAATTACCTATGGGGGAAAAGAAATTAATATTCTGAAACAAATTCCGAGAAGAGTGAGGGAAAGGAGGAGAAATTATAGGTTTTTGACAAATCATCTAAACAGGAGAAATATAATTTTTAGGTGGCTTTTGCCAGAAGGACTGCAAATTTCCTGGCAAGGGAGGAAAATAAGAATTGACTGTCTAAGTGATGCCCAAGACTTTTTAGAACAACTAAGGGGAGGAGAGGAGGAACAAACCAGTAAGGAGGATAACGAGATAGTAAATACGGAAGAAGAGATATCCCAAGAGCAAATTACTAGGGAAGACATAGAAGAGGAGAAGAAAAAGGAGGATACTGAGGAAAGAGGGAAAAAATCAAGACCAGTGAGAGCAGTAACTTTAAAAGGTAAATAAGAACAAGAGACTAGAAACTAATTTCAGGAATGAACGATACCAAGATCATATCGGTAAATGTGAATGGATTAAACGATTATAAAAAAAGAAGGATAATATTGTCGAAATTGGTGAAACAAAATCCCGATATTATCTGCATCCAAGAGGTCCATATAAAAAAAGATGAAGCTGAATATTTAAATTACTGTAAATTTGGTAAAGTATTTTCCTCACTAGCTGAGAAAAGGAAAAGGGGGGTTGCTATCTATGTTAAGAAAGGAATAATGGCAGAATGTAAATATAAAGATGAAAAAGGGAGAATACTCATAGTTGAAATAATGAGAGGTAACTCTAGACTGCTATTAGTAGGGGTTTATGCACCGAATAAAAAACAAGGGAAATTCTATAGGAAACTGCAGGAACAGTTGGCAAATTGGGCACATCTTGAAATATGTATGCTGGGGGACTTTAATGGAATTGTAGATCCAAAGCTTGACTATAAGTGCGATATAACCAAAAAGAATAAAAGATCTCCCTTACCAAAGTTTTTTTTTGATTTGGTGGATGAGATAAATTTAATTGACATGTGGCGTACCTTACACCCCCAGGACAGACAATATACATTTTACTCCATCCCACAGAACTCCTGGTCCAGAATCGATATGGTTTGGGTTACTAGAAAATTGGCATTAGAAATTAAGAAAGTTAACATGGACATCAATACTTGGGCAGATCATAAGCTCCTCGAAATTAGATGGTCTCATGATACGAAGAAAATACAACAGAGATGGAGCTTAAGGACAAATCTCCTAAATGAAAAAGAGTTCACACTCAAATTGAATGAAGAAATCAAACGCTTCTTCTTAGAAAATGGAAATCGAGGGACAGCCAAAGAAATTGTGTGGGACACTATGAAGGCCTATGTCAGAGGAGTAGCCATCTCATATACTGCCTTTAAAAATAAGGAAAAAAGAAAGAGTAGAGAAGAACTTACTCAAAAATTATTACAAACTGAGGCTGAATTACAGCAACGACCGGGAGATGAGGCGACGAAACAACAGTGGTTGATGATGAGACATAGACTGAATCTATTGGACCAGGAGGAGATAGCTCAAAAAATAAGAAGATCTAAGCATTATTGTTTCGAGAACGCTAACAAGTCGGGGAGATGGCTCGCATATAAATTAAAAAAAGAGAAGGAAAAAAACCAAATACTAGCTTTAGAAGACCCACAGGGCATCCTGTTGACGAAGGAAGAAGACAAATTAGAAAGCATAAGAAAATTTTATGAATGTCTTTACAAAAATGAAGGAATTGAGTTAAACAAGGTAGAACAGTATTTGTTGGAAGCCAACCTTCCTCAAATTCCGGAAGAAGAAAAGGAAATGTTAAATGAAAAGATCACCATAGGGGAGTTAAGAACCGCCTTATCCAAAATAAAGAAGAACAAAACCCCAGGCCCTGATGGTCTCCCCGGAGAATTATATCAAAAATTTGATGATGCTCTGAAATTGGAATTGTTAGAAATTTTAAATGATGTTATTGCTGGTATAACAATCCCAGACTCCTGGAGGGAAGCGTACCTGACGATCATTCTGAAAGAAGGTGCCGACCCGAAGCAGATCTCCAACTATAGACCTATCTCACTGCTTAACGCAGATTACAAATTATTTATGACTATAATAGCGGAGAGATTCAAGAAAATTTTAAACCGATGGATACATAAGGATCAAAATGGTTTTCTCCCAGGGAGACAGATTAGAGACAATCTGAGAACAGTCCTAAATACTTTTGAATATTATGAACAACACCCTGGAAAACAGATGGCTTTAATGTTTGTCGATGCCCAAAAGGCATTCGACAACCTGAATTGGACCTTCATGATAAACCAAATAGATCTAATGGGATTCGGGACTAACTTTCGGAGGATGATAGAGAATATTTACCAAAACCAGAGGGCAAATATATTAGTTAACGGAGGCAGAACCCAGACATTTCAGATCCAAAGAGGAGTTAGGCAGGGATGTCCCCTATCCCCCTTACTTTACATTCTAGCATTAGAGGTCTTACTTAGAAGGATTAGAACTAATGAAAATATCAAAGGCTTGAAGATTAGGAAGGAAATATTTAAAACACAGGCTTTTGCGGACGACGTTGCCTTCATAATAGAAGACCCATTAGATACCAGCTTAAAATTAATGCAGGAAGTTCAGAATTATGGAGAAGTCGCGGGCTTTAAACTTAATAAGAACAAAACCAAAATAATTGTGAAAAATATGACAAACCTACAAACGAAAGAATTAGAAGATTTATTAGGCCTCCAGGTAGTTAAGAAGATAAAATATCTGGGAATATGGATTACGGCGAGACTCTCTTCATTAAAAGATGATAACTATATCCCGTTATTGCAGAAAACTAATCAAGATCTTGATAGGTGGAGGAGGCTTAAATTGTCCCTGACTGGTAAAATTGCGGCGATCAAAATGAATATTTTACCGAAATTTCTATTTCTATTTCAAAATATACCGATATCACTAGATAAAAAATTTTTTTTGGATCTGAATAAACATATCAGGAATTTTCTGTGGGAGGGTAAGAAATCGAGGATTTCTCTCAAGACACTTCAAGGGAAAAGAAATCTGGGAGGGTTCGGGCTCCCTGACTGGGAATTATATCAAAAGGCGGCAAAAATAATTTGGATAAAGGAGTGGATCAAATTACAAGAAGGTAGAATCTTAACACTAGAAGGACACGATCTCCTTGAAGGATGGCACGCTTACCTCTGGGATATAAAGGATAGGAAGAAAACTCATTTCCATAAACATAAAATTAGAGAGACATTGATTCGTACGTGGCTGGAAATTAGACAGAAGATATATACTAAGGTTCCTAGCTGGTTGTCGATTATGGATGCTCTAGTGGCCCCAAATAGAAGAGAGAACTATAAAATGGGCACATATAAGGATATCTTGGATGAAGAAGGGAAGCTCAAATCCTTGGAAGTACTGAGGGACCAGGGGTTTATTCTGGATTGGTGGAAATATCTTCAGATTAAGTCTAGATTTCAAGAAGATAGAGATAAATGTGGTATTGAAATGAAATATGGATATTTTGACAAAATTATTTGGGGACCAGATAAGAAAATGCTATCGAAAATCTATAACTTTATATTAGATGAGGATAGAGCCGAGAAGATAGCTAAAAATCAGCTAAGCACTTGGGAGAAAAATTTAGGATATGGCCTTAATTTCAATGATTGGGAGATAGCTTGGAACAGAAATCTCAAAATAACGAAATCGGTAACACTCAGGGAAAATCACTACAAAATGCTGCATAGGTGGTACCTAGCCCCGGACAGGCTGGCCAAAATATTTCCAAATTCCTCTGCTTTATGTTGGAAATGTGGAAAGACGGTCGGCACCTTTTACCATCTGTGGTGGACTTGCCCTGAGACCAAAAAGTTTTGGTTAAAGATTCGACTCTGGCTCTCGGAAATAATGGGACAAGAGATAGCCCTGGCCCCGGAATCCTTCCTCTTAGGTATGATTGAAGATGGCCTCGACAACAATAAAACCCAACTGGCAATTCAAATTATTACTGCGGCTAGATTAGCCTTTGCGAAACTCTGGAAATCCAACTCTACCCCCTCTGAAGAAACATTAATAAATAAAATTCTAGAGTGCGCAGAGATGGCCAAATTGACGAGCGAGCTAAAAAATGAAGAGAATTTTAAGTACTACGAAGTATGGGGAATTTGGTATAACTGGTTAAAGAATAGGATAAAAATATGATAATAGGCTACGATTTGTTAGACACCCGAAATGGACTTAATTGTATAGAAATGTAGAGAATTGTATAGAACTGCATATTGTATAGCTATGGATAGAATTCATTTAATGTTTGATCTATGAAATGTGTAAACATTGCACCTCGGATCAAGATTGTGATTGTACATTGTCTTTTTAAAAAATTGGAAAATTCAATAAAGTATTTAAAAAAAAAAAAAAAAAAAAGAAACCATAACAAAGTCGAAAAAAAGTGCAGCCCATCTGCTTGATCCTCCGCATTGTCACCCTAGGGATCCCCACAGTGCATCATTACACATTTACTGAGTTGCCTGTTGTGAGCTATTGTGAGCCTGTTTGAACACTGATCTTTTCCCCCTTTCTTAAAATAGTGAACTGAGGCAGTTTTAAATTGCTTTCCATTTGCGTTAGTCTTTTTTTTTTTTAGCCCATGAGTAATAGGGTGTAAAACATTTTAGCTGTTACAGATCTGCAACTTGAACTTATTGTGGATTCACCTCTTTAAAACATTAACTTTTATGATGTCTTTCTAATCATCCTTACACTTTTAAGAAAAGGGGGGAAAGAATGATGGCCCTTGGGAATTTTTTTCCAGCAAATAGAGGCTGATCTAATGTTGGAGAAGATCCAACTTGGTATAGTGGTGAAGGGACCTGGCTAGGAACCAGGAGACCGTACGTTCTAGTCCCACCTTGGACACGAAACTAGCTGGCTGACCTTGGGCCAGTCAGTCTCTCTCAGTCCTTGGAAGGAGGCAATGGCAAACCACTTCTGAACAACCTTGCCAAGAAAACTGCAGAGGCTCATCCAAGCGGTTTCTGAGAATCGTTCAGGATTTGAACGAAAGAAGAAAAAAAAAAATATGTTCCATGTCCACGAAGTACTTATTTATGAAAATTATACAGCAGATTGTCACGGGAGTTCAACCAGACAATTTTGCAGATATGTTTTAAGTCAAAATAATTTCAGCTGCAGAAAGTACAGGCCAGGTGCCAAAGTTAGCACAGTTTAGTCTCTAGTCAATACTACTACACGGTTTTTGCAGCCCCTGTTTTATTCCATCTTATCCTTTTCCTTTTAGCTACATGTACTGGACCGACTGGGGAGAGATTCCAAAGATTGAGCGGGCTGCTTTAGATGGTTCTGACCGAGTTGTACTGGTAAATACCTCACTTGGTTGGCCCAATGGATTGGCACTGGATTACGTTGAAAACCTGATATACTGGGGAGATGCCAAAACAGACAAAATTGAGGTTTGTTATTTCCATTTCTCTTCCTTAGTCCAAAATCCAAAGTACTTCCTTGAGATGTGCTATTTGTGTCAGTGGCTCAGCTTATGTTCCTGGTGAGAAGCGAATGGGTAGGAGTCGGTTACGAGTAAACAGATTTTAGAATCGGAATCAATGATCGTTGGATTGACATATTCATATGATCTGCTGATGTTCTCCAGTCATGATCTAACTTTCCTGTTGCTGCCTGTTGAATCATCTGTGAAGGATGAGGAGTCCGAATGGTTTATGAACAATACTGAGGAAACTGCTGTATGATGCCACCAATGTGGGAAGTCCCTAGTTTTCAGCTGCTGCCACAGCTGCGCAGTTTTTTAATAGGTTAGATCAGTGATGGCTAACCTTTTCCGGACCGAGTGCCCAAAGCGCGTGTGCGAATGCACGCATGCGCCCAAACCTCCAAAATGCAATTTGTGTGTGGCCCCTGCGTACGTGCCCTGCCCCTGTACATGAGCGTGCCCCCCTGTGCATGGCCCTCTGCGTGCGCCCCCGTGCATACCCACACGCCCCCTGTGTGCACCTCCCTCCGCCGGCGCCCCCCCCCCCCCCCACTAGCCCCCCCATGTGCGCACAGGCCCCCCCGCGCATGCACGGCAGAGACCCGAATACCAGCTGGCCAGCAGGAGGTGTAAAGGGAGGGCGACGGCTCTTGTGCCATCAGAGAGTGGGCCTGCATGCCACCTTTGGCAGACATGCCATAGATTTGCCATCACGGGGTTAGACTTCAAGTTCCCAGCTTAGCAGCTTCGTATTTACTATTCTAATCTTCCAAAACTAGCAACCGAATCCCATTATTGACTTGCAGATCTTTTCAGCAGATTTCAGCAAGCTGCTCTGAAATACCGGTAAATTGTATTATACACACAAACACAAAAGGGGGGGGGGGGGGTAAAACCATTGCTCCTTTTACCATATCGATGGATAGCTCCGTTAATTCTTCTAGGGTAGGGGTCTCGAACCCATGGCTGGCTGAGGAATTTTGGGAGTTGAAGTCCACAAGTCTTAATGTTGCCAAGGTTGGAGATTCCTGCTATAGGGCAAAGGAAGAATGATAGTCTTCAAAACTGGAATAGATTTTTCAGAATCCCTGGAGCTTTGATCTAAGTCAGCCTCTGGAGTAGAGAAATTCTTGAGGTCCACATTGCTTAAAGTTGCCAAGGTTGACAGACACTGTTCGGGAAACTTCCTCAAGATCCGGTTCTTTCTTTCAGTAATTTGGAGAGTAGCTTCATAGAGATAATCCTCAAATTGCAACCAGAATTGGGAACCAGAATTTCAGTTGTTAAGCAAGGCAATTGTTAAACGAGTTGTGTCCCAATTTTAAACCTTCTTTTCCATGGTTGTTAAGTGAATCATGTGGTCACTAACCACATCCGTCTCGCCCCATTGACTTTGCTTGTCAGCAACTGGCCGGAAAGATCTCAAATGGTGATTAGATCACCCTGGGATGTAATGTCATATTGTAGAGTAGACCATGGGGATGTAAAGTGTTTTCACACTTCATGGTTGTAAAGTGTGAAAACCGGTCACAAGTCACTTTTTTTCAGTGCTGTTGTAACTTTGGATGCCCACGAAACGAACTGTTGTAAGTCAAGGACTACTTGTGTTAAAAAAGACACAACCGTTTTGCAATGCGTAAAATGACACCAGCTCTTAAAGACTTCCAATTTAAAATGTGTGTGTGCGTATAATTTTTTGTTTTTCTTAAGCAGCATTTTTCAGGTGACAATTTTGTAGAATAAAGGAAAAGAATCAGGGCTCTTGCAAAACCTAATGTTGCATCTTAGATTCCACTCCCCCCACCCCACCCCTTGTGTCTTCCACATGCTTGTGTGGGTTTGTTTTTTTTCCAAGGTTGCTGATTCATGTTGCACTGTGGCTTTTCTCCCCAGATAATAAAGCCTCCACAGGGACTAATGGATATTGGCAGGGGTCTCAGCAGGAACCTTTGTTCCCTATTTATCTGGCAGCCTGCAGCCTGCAGCTGAGGGGGGCGGAGAAGAAGGGGGAAGTCTGCAGTTTGGGGCTTCCTTCTTTATCTCAATCAATTTTCTCCACCTATAAAACGTCTGTTGAATCGGTTGGCTGTTTATGAACAGAGACAATTCCTCACTGGCTTCCTTTCTTTGCCTGTCATGCCATGAGGTTAAAAATGCATGATCTGCTTTGCTCGGTTGGGATTACATGTTTATTTTCTGCCTGGAGATGAAATTGGAAGGGGTGGGGGGGCGGGGCGGGCATGAAATCACCAAGGCAGCCAGTCTTAAAATGAGGATTCCATTCAAAATATCCAGCACTGATGGACTCATTGGATCTGTCTAAACAGTCTGGATCCTTGCAGCTGGGTTTTAATTTTGATCTTTGTGTTTTTTATTCAATGAAGGTTTAAAAAAAACACCCCAACACTCCACTGTGTTGAGCTTTGGAGCAGCCTTATCCCTCCTCCAAAACATTATTTATTGTCTCATCAATTTTCACGGTATGGAATATAATCATCTCCTCCTACGCTAAGAGTCCAAAGCAGGAGAAGGTTCCAGATGTACTTTTTGGAAAGCGTGCTTCATTCCTTTCCTGCACAGGAATTTTGAGGGAAAAAAACAACCAACCCCATTATCCTAACCTTGGTGATTTGTTTCTTCTTTCCAAGGCAGCTTTATCGCAGCTTTATCCTGCTTTAGACTTGCTGCTCGGTTCCTCCTTCCCTTTGCACCACTTTTCTAAGAGAGAAATGAGGCTGGAGAAATTGACCAAGTGCCAGGGATTGTGCAATGAGGGAAGAATGCAGACGAAACAGATCTCACCAACTTGCCGCTTACTGTAATTCTATGCTGGTCAAACCATTCCAACACATCCTAATGAATTTTGATACGGCGTGTGTGCCTGAGGCCCTAATTTCACAGCCCTTTCAAAAAAAACATTTTAAAGTCTGTTTCCAGGCAGAATATAATGCTAATACCCTAAATGTACATTTGCTTTACAGTCAGTCTACCAAGATTTACTAAAAGTAGTAATGCCTACGACAGTTGCTAAATATTAAAATTGTATAGGTCTTTAAAATATCTTCTTGGAACAGGGAAAGCAGATGCAAAAATAATTCCATCTGTTAAGGAGAAAAGGCAAACTTAACCTTCACAATACAGATAGTCCTCAACTTATGACCAAATTTCTGGGGAGCTCTCCTTGAAGCTTTAACTTAAAACAATTTCTGCTATCCATTCATGCGAAGATTTCTGAAAAAAGGATCACTTGTTCTGCAAATCTTCAATAGCTTCTATCACCCCATTGACTAGCTGAAGTAGAACTGAGCAGAGTGGTAATCATAATATTGTTCGAAATGTTCTCCTTCTCTTTGGAACAGCTATACATGCAATATGAATTTTTGCGGAACCACTTTTGTGTGGCAAATCTCAGGCATTTGCAGAGATTCCATGTTTTTAATCCCTCCATTTTTCGAGAACTTTCTATTCTATTGGACCTCTCTGTAGTGGTGGGATTCAAATTTTTTTACTACCGGTTCTGTGGGTGTGGCTTGGTGGGCGTGGCAGGGGAAGGATACTGTAAAATCTCCATTCCCACCCCACTCCAGGGGAAGGTTACTGCAAAATCCCCATTTCTTCCCGATTAGCTGGGACTCGGGAGGCAGAGAATAGATGGGGGCGGGGCCAGTCAGAGGTGGTATTTACTGGTTCTCCGAACTACTCAAAATTTCGGCTACCGATTCTCCAGAACTGGTCAGAACCTGCTGAATACCACCTCTGCCTCTCTGGCACTTTTCCCTTTGCATACGAATAAGTGCAATGGCCCTCTGGCACTTTTGTGTGCTGAGTTCAAAAACACTGATAGAATGGGCGTTGACTTACCTGAACGCTTCATCTGGTTGCTCTGGGTCCAGTGGTCAGGAACGGGTTACTTCTCACTTCAATATGCTTGATTGAGTCTGCTTAGCTGAGAAGCTCCGCCCCTCCGCCCAGCTTCCCAGCTTTCTGGCGAAAGACGATAAGCAGACCGACACGTAGAGCTGCATAGAACACAAACAAACAAGGCCGAAACGGGCCGAACCGACGAGAATCGAACAGGGAGGGGCTGACCACTGGACCCAGAGCAACCAGATGAAGCGTTCAGGTAAGTCAACGCCCAATCTCGTTGCTCCTGGGTCCAGTGGTCAGGAACGGGACATGCCAAAGCATAGGCCTTATAGGGAGGGACCCACCCGAGGAGAGGAGGCCCGTTCCCCGTGAACCTGCTGCAGTACCCTGCGGCCGAAGGCTGCGTCGGCTGAGGCAAAACGGTCTAAACGATAATGCCTAATGAAAGGAGTAGGGGAAGCCCAAGCAGCTGCCCTACAGATCTCCTCGATGGAAGCCTGAGTAGCCCAGGCCACCGAGGTTGCTGCGCTGCGAGTGGAATGGGCCGTGATGTGCCTAGGGACCGGAAGAGACTGGGCTTCGTAAGCCTTGGCGATGGTAGCCCTGATCCAGCGACCCAGGGTGGCCGAGGAGACCTTCCTACCCAAGGAGGAAGGTTGGAAGGAGACCAAGAGGGACTCTGATTGCCTAAAGGGGGAAGTCCTCCGAAGGTAAATGCGGAGGGCGCGCCTTACATCGAGAGTGTGCCAGGCCCGTTCTAAGGAATGGGAAGGGTTAGGGCAGAAATTAGGGAGAATAATTTCTAGGCCCCGGTGGAAGGCAGAGTTAATCTTAGGGAGAAAGGTGGGATCCAACCTTAACACTACTCTGTCGGTATGAAAAACACACAGGTCAGCCCGCATGGAAAGAGCTGCTAATTCCGATATCCTCCTGGCCGAAGTGATGGCGAGGAGGAAAGCCACCTTGTAGGAAAGAAAACGCAATCCCACCTCCCTGAGGGGTTCAAAGGGAGCCCTCGTGAGGGCATCTAGAACCTTGGGAAGGTTCCATGTAGGGTACCTATGGACGGTGGGAGGGCGAATGTTAGAAGCTCCTTTGAGAAATTGCCGAATGAGAGGGCGACTGGCAAGGGACCCCCTGGACCCACAGCAAAGGATAGAAGAAAGGGCGGCTACTTGCCTGCGGAGTGTGTTAGGAGCGAGACCTGCCTCCAACCGATCTTGAAGGTACACCAGTACATCCTCCGTGGAGGCGGCCGTAGAGACAATGGAGTTCCTCTGGCACCAGAAGGAAAAGGACCGCCAGGTCGAATCGTAAATACGAGTCGTCGAGGGACGACGAGCTGCCTGGATGGTCATGATGACACTGGTGGGAAGTTTCCGGTCTCTCAGCAGTCGCCGCTCAACCGCCAAGCGGCTAGTTGTAACCATTCGACGTCTGGATGATGTAGCGATCCTTGACGTAGTACAAGCCTGTCCGGAGGCAGACGCCAAGGACGACGGACGGAGAGAGCTCGCAGGTCCGCGAACCAAGGCCGCCGAGGCCAGTGGGGTGCGATCAGAATCAGCTCTGCCCTCTCCAGAAGCATCTTGCGAATGACCCTGGCTATGAGAGGGAGAGGGGGAAAGGCATACAGGAGGCCGGGAGGCCAGTTGCTGTGTAGGGCATCCACGCCGTCCGCTGTTGGATCCGGGAACCGGGAGAAGAACCTCTGTGTCTGGCTGTTCTCCCGAGTGGCGAAGAGGTCCACGACAGGAATCCCGAACCGAGACGTTATCTCTGTGAACAACTCTGGGTCCAGAGTCCATTCCCCCGGATCCACCGTGGCTCGGCTGAGCCAGTCTGCCTGAGAATTCGCTACCCCCGAGATGTGCTCGGCCCTCAAGGACTTCAGATGACCTTCCGCCCAGGCCCCCAATCTCTCGGCCTCTTCCATGAGGGGCTGAGATCGAGTCCCCCCCAGACGGTTTACATGGGCTTTGGCAGCCACGTTGTCTGTTCTCACCAGCACATGTCTGTCCTGGACCTTGGTGACAAACACGCGGAGGGCTAGGTGGATGGCCCGGAGCTCCAACCAATTTATGTTGTGCTCCAGGTCGGTCCGGGACCAACGACCCTGAGCTATGGAGGACGACAGATGTGCCCCCCAGCCGTGAAGACTGGCGTCCGTGGTCAGGATCATAGTGTGGGACACCCTGAACTCCCTCCCCTTGAGGAGGGCATTGGAGCTCCACCATTTGAGGGAATTGTGGACTGTCGGGGGAAGATGGACCTTCCGTTGGGATGTCCCCAAAAGCCGTTTCTGGTAAGGGAGAAGGAACCACTGCAGATGCCTGCAGTGGAGTCGGGCCCAGGGAACTATCCCGATGCATGAAACCATCTTCCCTAATAGCTGGGACAACGTCGCCAGAGAGGGAGCCTTCCCCTTCAACACTGACCTGACTAAGGATCGTATGCTGTCTAGACGATCTTGGGAGAGGTACACCTTGCATTCCCTCGTGTCTATGATGGCTCCCAGGTGACGGATGCGAGTGGAGGGTACCATGTGACTCTTGGACAAGTTGATCGAAAACCCGTGGGTCCTGAGGACCCGGAGTGTGGTGGAAAGGTCCTGCTGTGCTAGCTGCTCTGAGGCCGATTGTATGAGGAGATCGTCTAGGTAGAATTGGATTCTCACCGGAATGGACCTGAGGTGAGCTGCAAGAGCGGACATCAACTTTGTGAACACCCGAGGGGCCGAGGAAAGGCCGAACGGGAGTGCCCTGTATTGGTAATGATCGTTCTGAAAGGAGAATCTGAGGAAACGGCGATGAGCCGGGTGGATGAGGACATGCAGATAAGCTTCCGTCAGGTCTATGGAGGTAAGGAAGTCCCCCAACCTGATCCCCTCCAGGATGGATTGAAGGGATTGCATCTTGAACCGCCGATAAGAGATACGGCGGTTCAGAGACTTCAAGTCGAGAATCGCTCTCCAGCCCCCTGATGATTTCTGGATGACAAAGAGGCGTGAATAGAAGCCTAGTCCGCGCTGCTCCGGGGGAACAGGTTCTATGGCTCGAATTTCGAGAAGGTGCCGAATAGCGGACATTACGAGAAGGCGGGAAGCCCTGACCCGGGAGAGAGGGCATGGCAGAAATCGATCTGGGGGGGTGGAGAGAAACTCTAGAGAGAGACCAAACCTGATAGTCTCTCTGACCCATTCGTCCGAAGAGGTAGCCTCCCACTGGTCGGCAAAGGCTGCCAGACGACCTCCAATGGGAAGCCCACCCAGACCGTCAGCGTGACCTGCGGAAACCCCGCCCCCGTCCCCCCCTGAAGGGGCGCCTAGCCTGGCCTCGGGAGGAGGAAGGGAACTGGCGGTCTGGAAACCGAGACTGGCGGGGAGGAAAGGACCTTTGTCTACGGGCACCCGTGAATCCTCCCTCCTGGTTACGAAAGGGCCGAAAGGACGACTGAGAACGAATCTCAGACCGACGGGACATGGAAGGTAGGATGCGGCGTTTATCCTTGGATTCCACCAGGAGTGGTTCCAGAGCCGCTCCAAAAAGCTTAGGTCCCTCAAAGGCGGATGAAGCTAGACGCCATTTGGACTTGGAGTCAGCTTGCCATTGGCGTAGCCAAAGCAGGCGACGGGAAGCCACGGTCGAGCCAATGGCCTTGGCTGCGAATCGTGATGCATTCAATGTGGCATCAGCTGAATATTCTAGAGCCACAATGACCTTACTAATGTCCTGTTGAGCCCGGACGTCTGAGATAGGGAGTCTAGCCTGCAGTTGTCTTAACCAAAGAATGGAAGCCCGATTAAAAAAGGAGGCGGCCATGGTCGATCTTATTGACCAGGCCGTGGCTTGATGGGAGCGGACTAGGGAATGTTCCAAACGTCTGTCCTCAGGGCGTAGATTATCTTCTGGGGGACCAGCTAAGTTGGAAGTGGCGGACAACTCCGCTACTGGTTGGTCAACCGAAGGGACCTGCAAGAGAGATGTTAGTTCAGGTGCCAAATTATATATGCGCTTGTCTAAGGAATTTGGGCTAGGTCCCGAAGCAGGAGAGGACCACTGGCGTTGTAAAACATCTCTAAAAATCTTAGGACCTGGAATCTCCTCTGATTCTATTATTGGTTCCTCAAAAAGAGGGACTGATGTGGAGGGACCTTCCGTAGGGGAAGTCTCTGAAGGCCGGGAAACCCCCAACCCAGTAGTCAGTTTGGCCTTGTGAAGGAGGGACCTGAATAATTGGGGTTTAAATAGGCCCACAAATGCCGGCTGATCCGGTGCAAGATCTTCATCCTCAGACATCTCCTGATCCAGAAGGTCCGCCCCCGTGAGGGAACCCTGCTCTGAAGGGCCGGAAGAGGGGGCCCTGGTCTGAACTGCATCCCGGAGTTCCCCACCGTGTGTGGCCATACGATTAGAAGAAATAATGGAGCCCTCAACATCTAACAGAGAGCCTTCCTGGTCAGATACCCAGGAGGAAGTTCCTTGGTGTAATTCCTGTCTAACCCCTTCTCGAATAGCCTCCCGAATGTAGGAAGCTAGAACGGGAGTGATGAGGGTCTCTGGAGCCCCAGAGGCCGGATCAGAGGGAGCCCCAGGCTGATTACCTGAAGGCCTGATTAAAGAAGGGGCAGGGTTGGGGCCTGGTTCCGATTGTTCCCCAAACAAGGTGACATTAACTCCTGCCTGAGCCTCAGCCGGAGGCGGGGACCCATCGGGAGATAATGCAGGGCCAGAAGCTTGAGGCAAAGGGGAGGCCTCCCTGGGTTGAGGAGTTGTACTATGAAGAGCTGTGGAAGGTGGGCTCAGGGGAACACTTTCCTGCACTGAAGCAGCTTTAGTGGCCTTCTGGATGGCTTTCTCTATGGCTTTGTGGAGTTTGAGCTCCTCTTTAGCCAAGGCTGCAGAAGACTGTGCAGATTTAGTGGCTCCAGCAGTATGGCGAGTCTTCCTGCTTCTCTTTGCAGGAACAGCTGTTTGTCCTTGCTGATCCTCGCCTTGAAGGCGTTGCTTAGTGGGCCTGGAGGATCTTTTAGAAGCCATCTGGAGCTAGGGATAAATATGCAGCCATTAATTAATGTTGAAGATCAGGGCCCATAGAATAACCATTCAGTTTACTAACTGCCAAATTTGGATGGTTTCCGTAATAGCTGCTGGTAGGAAAAAAAGGCCTCTAAGGCCATGTGGTCGTTTTAAAATGGCGCCGGGAGGGCCCGAAACGGTACTGGCTACCAGGCAAGCCAGGGCCTCTAACGGCCATGCGGAGGTTTCAAAATGGCCGCCGGGAATGAAGGGCCATAGGGGGGGGGGCCAACCAACATCCCCCCTCTCCATACCTTCAGAAAAGCGAAAGGCTGCCAAACGGGAGAAGACCAGAGAAACTGGCCCACCCAGGGAGTCCGGAGCCGTCCTCGAAGCCTTCCCACGTGGAGAAACGCCGCTCGCCGAAACCGCGGCTAAAGGGAAGCCTCCCGCGCCGCTAGCTCCACATGGAAGCCGTCGCACACCCCAGCGACGAAATTCGTCCTGCGGAAGGACAGGCGGCTCTGAATTGGAGGGGGAAGGCACCAGGACTCCTTCGGGAATCCCAGCCGGGTTTCCCCGCAATTTAGCGCTGCCAGCGGTCTCGGGTGTTACCCCTTCGCGCTGATGCGAGGGGCCAGGCTCAACCAAAAGGGAACCTGCAGTCCCTTCTGAGCTGGCTAATCCCTCAGCGGATTAGGGTGCAAAGCCCTCCTCGCTGGGAAAAACTCACCAACAGCTCTGAGAAGCGGTGAATGCAATCCTGCAACAATTAATAGTCAGGAGCTCAGCTCAAACGTGTCCTTCTCAATCGGATTGAGTCAGAAAGCTGGGAAGCTGGGCGGAGGGGCGGAGCTTCTCAGCTAAGCAGACTCAATCAAGCATATTGAAGTGAGAAGTAACCCGTTCCTGACCACTGGACCCAGGAGCAACGAGATTACAGTCCCAAATACCTGTATGTAGTTCTGATTTACACAATGGGTATCCAGAAGACACACAATTCCTGCAACTCTGCAAAAGTAGGTTACTTTGAAGCTCAGATATCAATTCCAGAGTCAAAAAATCTCTATTCTACTTTCTTTGAGTTGGTTTGCGTTGGTTTGCAACGGGATCGCGTTGCGAAGAAGTTTCTGCGCATGCGCAGATCGCCGATGATGACATCTGGGGCGGTGGGCAAGGCCTCCCGCCGGTTTTTCTACCAGTTCTTGTGAACCGGTCTGAACCGAGGGCAACCCACCACTGGGAAGTATCGATTGTTCTGCAGGGGCATCTGTAGAGGTCGAGGTGGGTTTAAAAAAATCACGATGGCCACCACACATAAAAAGTGCAGGGTTTTGGTCTTGGCTGCCATAGTGACTTCTTTGACCCCATTCTGGGTCAGGTTTGATGGTCTTTAGGATTTTTCATCAGTCCCTGTTAATCAGTGGTGGAATTCAATTTTTTTTACTACTGGTTCTGTGGGCGTGGCTTGGTCGGCGTGGCAGGGGAACGATACTGCAAAATCCCCATTCCCACTCCACTCTGGGGCCAGCCAGAGGTGGTATTTGCCAGTTCTCCGAACTACTCAAAATTTCTGCTACCGGTTCTTCAGAACCTGTCAGAACCTGCTGAATAGCACCCCTGCTGTTAATGATTAGCAGGTTATTTTTTTTTAAGAGAGATGTATCGCTTCAAAAGCAATTCAACGTTTTTGTACATCCGTTGCCCTGCAAATCTGAATTGGCATATTTGCTTGCCAGTGTCTTCTGAAGCAGGACATCTGTGCGCCTGGAGCTTGGTCACTAGTGTGTGATGTGGGAAGCCACATGTGTTTTCTGTTGTTGTTTTTATCCTTGTAGTTAAGAGCCATCTAGATTGTGAAATCCATCCACGCTGTGGTTAAAATCAGCTCCAAAGGTTAAAGAGACTGGCTGAAATTTAGATGTGCTTCTTACCTACAGGCATTCTTATTTCTCTTCTTTGAGAAGAAGCCTTACCGTATAAAGCTATGGACAATGTAGGGTTTTTTGGCACAGATGTACTGAATTGCATTGAAATGTTCTCCTCTGCCTTGCTTTCTCTTCTTCTCAAATACTCTTGTGAGGAGCCAGGAATTTTGCTAGACAGGACCTCTATTTAAGGAATATGAAATACAGTCTCAAGAGTCAGGAAAAGAACAAGCAGCTGTTACTTGTAGCCTGCTCTCGCTTTCTGTTCGTAAATCAATATTCCCTACTTGGGAATTTATTTTGTTTAAACTGTGTTTCCCCTAAAAAGGGTGGGCTTTGTACCTGAAGGACTTACTGTGATAGGTACTTGAATGGGTGGAACAGCTTGATCATCACTTCTGGTCTTCTCCAGAATTACTTAGCTGAAGTAGCCTGCAACATATTACTTTCTTGGCAGCCATCTTGAAATTCTGGTATTTCCTTCTCATCTTTCCTTGGGACTGATGCTTGCTAGGTGAGAGACAAATCCTTTTACAGTAACTAAAGATGAAAGCTGGCCAACGTAGAAGAGCTGGTTGGCCTCCAAAGAACGGGTCTGCTTGTGGTGTCGTTTCTATGGGCCATCTTCCCCTCTGCATAGTAGGATAGTAAAACTCTTTTATCTCCCGCAGGCACCCTTGTATATTTAAATAAGGAATATGGCTATAAATCCAATATATGTAAATTTTAAAAAGTGTAGTAAGTTCTTCATAGGGTGAGAGAATCCAATAGAAGAGAGTATCCTCCTGAGTCCTATGGAGATAGGCAGCATACAAATCAAAATAAATAAATAAATAAATAAATCTGTAGCTCAGGGTTGAACTGTGGAGTCCTTGGTGCTTTCTGAGTCTGGCTGATTGCTTACAGATGCTTCATTACCCAACTAGGTTACATCATTGTGCGAGGAAGTTGGGGTTTGCTCCCTGTTATATACAGTTTGTAGCTTATATATAATAAATAACATATGCGTGGCTTATATGCAGTAGTTACTAGATATAAATGATATAGAAGTTACATATACATGTAATCCTCAATTTACAAACATTTGTTTAACAATGGTTTGAAATTACGACATCCTTAGAAAAAGTGGCTTCTCACCCATCCTTGAAGTTATGACTATCCCACCATTCCCGAAGTCACATGCTTGCGATTCAGCTGCTTGGCAATTGGCTTGCATTTATGATGGTTGCAGCATCTTGTGATCAGATGATTGTGACTTGAGGCAGTGTTTATTTTATTAGAGAAAATGTCCCTTGTCTTTCTGTTTACGCCAACACTCAAGCAAGTGAAAGAGTGTTTTAGCACAGGGTCCTCTGCCTGGGGGCTGTGGCCTATTTGTGAGTGGTAGGCTGGTGCTTGTGCACAATCATACAGCTCAACTTGCCTGCCCCTCGCACAAAACCATCCCCTCTTCCCTGCCGCGCCCCCCCCCCTTCCTGGGCCGCGCCGCCAACCCGGAAAGTTTGGGGAACGCTGTTTTATCAGACAACAATAGAGAAAAGGATTTCCTGCTCCCTTCTCAGCCAGTGTCTATAAAACATACCAAGTCTGCACTTTCCTCCAAGAGGAAATCATAGATAATAAATGACTGAACAAGCCACTGAACTGGAGCAGGAACATCTGGTTGGAAGGTGCGCCATCTCTGTCACCTCGACTTCCTTGGTTAGATGGCTCCCTGAAAGGAAGGAAGCCCAGCCATGACCTTGCTCCTTTTCTCTGCAGCAGCAGCATCCCATCATATCTCCCAGGTATTAATATAATGTTTGGTTCCAATCACTGTCTCTCTCCCTGGCCCATCCCAGAAGTTCAAAAGGACGCAGCAGTTAAAAACACAAAAAGAAACCATTCTACCACTGCGTGAGTTCAAGCCTGACTTTGGGGTCACCTCCCCAGCAGCTGGAAGGGATGTGGTGGCTCAGTGGCTAAGACGCTGAGCTTGTCAATCGAAAGGTCAGCAGTTCAGCGGTTTGAATCCCTAGTGCCGCATAACCGGGTGAGCTCTCGTTCCTTGTCCCAGCTTCTGCCAACGTAGCGGTTCGAAAGCACGTTAAAAAATGCAAGTAGAAAAATAAGGACCATCTTTGGTGGGAAGGTAACAGCGTTCCGTACACCTTTGGCGTTGAGTCATGCCGGCCACATGACCACGGAGACGTCTTCGGACAGTGCTGGCTCTTAGGTTTTGAAATGGAGATGAGCACCGCCCCCTAGAGTCGGGAACGACTAGCCCATATATATCGGGGGAACCTTTACGTTACCTCCAGCAGCTGCTCTCCACACTTGAAGGGCAGTGGGTCTGTTACCTTGTGGAACAGGAAGATGGACTTGGATCTGCTACGTGGTTTTGAGGAATTACTCATCCCATAACAAAGAAAAAAGCTTGCTAGGTGGAGAGAATTTCATTCTTTTCCTTATAAAAATAAGTGAGTAAAATTGAGCAGGAGAGACTAAACTCCGCCTGGTTGCCATCTGGAATAAGTTGTAGGAATTCTAATGCGGGCTGAAAAAGAGCTGACCTCCATTTTGAAGTTCTGTAACTAGGACCCTTTCTCCAGTGATCCTTTTGGCCTGAGTGTTTTACAAAAAGAAGCAGTTGCTTAAGGGGCAAGCCATAATAAAAGTGGCAATTCATCATTTTTATGAGTCCAGGAAAGTTTTAAATCCAGGTTAGTGGTTGGTGTCATTTTAGAAAAATAAAATTGAAGTAATAGAATTTATTGTCAACAAGTTTTTCTCAATTTGTGATTGGAATATTTTTCTCTAGATATATTGGAGTCATATTTTTCCATTTATCCTCATTCTTTTCTTTTACTATACCTGTAGTTTTTAAGTAAGAATTTTTACTATTACAACAATAAAACCTAGTACAAACTAAATTTAGAGAAAGGGAATAGAAAAAGAGAGAATAAAAAGTGCAAGCAAAAAAAAAGGATGAAAAAATTGCAGTATAAAGAAGTGACTTCCAACCTTTCTCACAAGTATAAACAAATTTAATCATTCTTTATGCTCTAAATATGGTTACACACAGATCCCATCCCTTATTTGTAAGCAAATTCCTAAGACGTGAACTTTTCGATCCTTGTATCGGCAAATAATCCATAAAGGGTTGCAGAACTTTTTTTAAAAAAGTCTTCTTTTAACCTCAATCAAATAAAACAACTTTATAATCCTTCTTTTTACTTCTAACAAGCTTCTAAAGATTGAATCTTTAATTCAATCAAATATTGTCATAGTATTTGGTTTTCCCCCCAGTTCTTTATTCCATTGTTCCAAGGTTTTTTTTAACCCCCCTCTTTTGTAGATCCAATAAGAAAACATTTCCAGGTCATTCTCTTGGATTGTATTTGTATTTCCCTTTTAATTTTTAAAACTTCAGACAGGTTCTTTTGTATATCCAGTAAAATGGCCTTTTCCAAATCATTCTCTTAGCCTGTAATTTATAGTTCCACTTTCAGTACTGGTTTTTTAGACATAATCTACCAAATAGAAGCAGACATCATTACTAACACTGTTGATGCTATAGCTGCTAATTTCTGGTCCCATTCTTCAAAGTTCTCTCTTAATAACAATAATAGCAGTCCCATAGTGCTTTATAGCACTGGCCGGGCAGTTTACAATGTCAGCATATTGCTGCCAACAATCTGGGTCCTCATTTTACTGACCTCAGAAGAATGGAAGGTTGAATCAACCTTGAGTCCTGTCAGGATCAAACTCTAGGCTATGGGCAGAGTTAGCCTGCGATACTATATTCTAACCACTGTGCTACCAATGGTTAACCAGTGGCTAATGTTTCTTTTGTCGTTACATTTTGTGTCATTTTATAAGTCCCAGTATTAATCAGTATTAAAAATAGGCTTGCTTTTTTCTTCTTTCTGCTTTTCCTTCACTTTAGTCCCCTCTAGTATCCAGGTACTGAAATCAGTAGAAGTAATTTATCTTTGTTATGTCTTGCAATAGCCAGCATAGCCAAAATAAATCTATTTCCCATGAGAAGCTATTTATTTTTTTGCAGTTATCTTATGCTAAAGGAAGGTCAATTTTCCAAATTTATCTAAACCCTTAATATGCTTATTTAAATAAAAATCTTTAGTTTTTTCTTTTTTGTTTCAAATTCTTTCAGTTGTTAAACTTTTCTTCTGAAGGTCTCTAATTGCTTGAAGAAGGTTAATAGGCAATTTCCAAAAGTGATTAGAAAGTGAGGTTTGTGAACTTAGTGTCCTTTAAAAGGTTCCTCTGTGATTGTGATTAAAATGACTGTCTTTGTCTCCCAGCACTTAAAACAAGTAGAAAATTGCTGGCTTACAGCTTCCTTGTGAGGAGCAGTCATCCAAAGCACATATGGGCAATTTCCTTTCCTTTCCTTTCCTTATCCAGAGAGGTTTCAAGGAATCGGTCTACTCATCAGTTCATTGTTAATTCGTTTTTGTCACGGTCATCAGCTTCACTTTCAGAGAGACACCTTTAGTTCTTCAAACCACCTCTGGAACTATGTCTCAATTCATTTTTAAGCGGGCAGATATGATATGGAAAAAAGCTTTGAATTAATTACAGGTTTTGGCTCAATTCCCAATGATGGGAAATGTGAAACCCAGATTCACACAGACAAATAACCCTGAACTTATTTTATTAGGTAATTCTGCTTCATTTCTGAAGCAACAAGGAAGATGTAGCTGTAGTGGGAAAGACAGTAAGCACCACTGCTCAGTGCAGAAAGGACTTGTGAATATATAAGTATATAAATAGGGCTTCGGTATTCCCTGGTATGAATATTTCTTGTCTTCAGTAGTGCACTTTTCTTGCCGAGTCTGTGAAGTTTCTGCTGTTAGCTAGAAATGCAACTAGTTAGCTAAACGCAGAGCTAAGATTTAATGACATATCTGATGTGAAATATAATAATTTCCAGTTAGGTGTAATGGAATTTGTAGCAGGAAATGTTATCAAAGAAGATTGTTTGGCAGATAAAGTTCATGCTGAAATGCACATGTTAATTTTTGTGAGTTACAGTTTGAGATTGATTGAACTGCATTGTCTGACAAGAATTACATTGTGCAAGAAGGCGAGTTTAAGCTTCCGAACCCATCTTGTGTGTGTGTGTGTGTTTGTACTTGTGAAGGTCATGAAAATAGATGGAACCAGCAGAAGAGTCCTTGTGGAAGACAAGCTGCCCCACATCTTTGGTTTCACTCTGCTGGGGGACTATATTTATTGGACAGACTGGCAAAGAAGGAGTATTGAGCGGGTTCATAAGCGGACAGCAGAAAGGGAGATCATAATTGACCAGTTGCCTGATCTCATGGGCCTCAAGGCTACCAACGTCCACAAGATCTTGGGTGAGTGTCTTAAAAATCTAACTCCTCTCCTGTAAACCAAAGAGATTATTTTGTAAATGAGAACATTTACATACTTTTAAGCACCTAAAAGTGACGCGGTGGCTCAGCGGCTAAGACGCTGAGCTTGTCGATCGAAAGGTCGGTAGTTCAGCGGTTCAAATCCCTAGTGCCACTTAACGGGGTGAGCTCCCGTTCATTGTCCCAACTTCTGCCAACCTAGCAGTTCGAATGCACATAAAAGCAAGTAGAAAAATAGGGACCACCTTTGGTGGGAAGGTAACAGCGTTCCGTGCACCTTTGGCGTTGAGTCATGCTGGCCACATGACCACAGAGACATCTTTGGACAGCGCTGACTTTTCGGCTTTGAAATGGAGATGAGCACCGCCCCCTAGAGTCGGGAACGACTAACACATATGTGCAAGGGGAACCTTTACCTTTAAGTATCCTAACCATAAGAATAAGGAATTTCTGAGGATTTGAAAATTCTCAATACAGACCCTTTCAATACCATCTAAAATGGGATGGGGGAGGAGAAAGACCCTCTAATGATTGCAAAAGATGATCACATGACCCTGGGACACTGCAGTGGTCACAAGTATGAACTAGTTGCCAAGCATCTGAATTTTGATCACATGACCATAGGGATGCTGCAAAGGTTGTAACTGTGAGAAATTCTCATTTTTTTCAACGCCATTGTAAGTTTGAACGGTCGCTAAATGAACTGTTGTAAGTCGAGGACTACCTATATTTGTATTGGAGCAAGTGGAAAATCAGTGTTGTCACATTTTCTAACAGGCTGTATCAGCTATTATGGGGGAATGTAGTCTGAAGTTGCAGGAGCAAGTGTCTCTTTCCCAGGAAGCTACCGTATTTCCTCGAAAATAAGACATCCCCTGATAATAAGCTCTCCCCGAAAATATTTAAATGCATGCACAGCTGGTCTCCACCATTTCCTTTGGTTAGGGTTAGGGAGACAGAGCTGGAAATCCAGGTAAGATGGCAAGAGGAGCGCCATCTTGTTCCATGCGCCCCAAAATAATAACAAAATAAGGCCAAGCGTTTATTTCGGGGTTCAAAAACATATACCGTATTTTCCGGCGTATAAGACGACTTTTAAACACATGAAAATCTTCTCAAAAGTCGGGGGTCGTCTTATATGCCGGGGGTCATTCTCCTGTAACCAGGCAGACCACCCCGAAAGGCTCTGACGAGCCTTAAATGGCTCTGTTGATCCAAGCTCTGACGATCCCAGCTTTGCCTGCTAATCAGGCAACTCAGCTGGGATCGCCAGAGCCCTGTAAAAGGAAAAAAGTTTTCCCCCTCCAGCTTGCTTACCTTAGCTGCTAGTCGCAGCGCTTGCCTTGCTTCGCTTGCCTGAATCCATTCCATCAGCAAGCCACTCCCTGCCTGCAATCAAGCAGGCAGGGAGTTGTGAACTTCAACTCCCAGAATTCCTCAGCCTGCTGAGGAATTCTGGGAGTTGAAGTCTACAAGTCTTAAAGTTGCCAAGGTTGGAGACCCCTGTTCTATTGGGTAAGTTTTTTCCCCCTTTGGGAGCTTTAAAAAAAAATAGTTAATTGGGGTTTTTTTTAGTTGTTCTTTTTTAGACCTAGCCATTTAAAGTTTAGGAAGTTTTAAATTTAGTTTTCATATAAAAATAAATTAAAATAAAATAATATTTGTGCAGCTTTCTGAGATTTAGTGTGTTTTTGTAGTGTTTCACTCTAACTACACAAACACACAAAATCTCACAAAGCTGTATTTAGAATTTTGTGTGTATAAAGTGTGAAAGTTGTTTTTTTGGGCTTTTTGTGGCTGTCTGAGGTTCCTGCTTGATGCAGGGGCCATTTTGTGTCTAGCACAGCTGCTTTTACATTGTGGGTGAGCCAGTTGATGTTTTTTAATTTTTATTTGGTGTGCGTTGGAAGAGAGGTAGTCTTATACGGCGAGTATAGCCCAAATCCTATATTTTAACAGGAAAATTCGGGGGTCGTCTTATACGCCCAGTCGTCTTACACGCCGGAAAATACGGTAAGAGTCTTATTTTCGGGGAAACACGGTAAGAGACAGCAGAGCTTGGAATTTCTGGTGGGCAGGAAGAGAACAGGCATAGATCCTTCCACAGAGTGTATCTCATAGTTATTGCAGATAATTGCTTTGGTCGGGCAAGATTCTGTCTGTGGGCGAACAGCAATAAACAGTTCAGAAGTAACTCGATTCTTTGGACCTGACAGCTATGGAGAAATGATAAAGATTTAGCAACGCTAAAGGCTTCCTTTTTGCTTTCTTTAGGTACAAATCCTTGCGCAGAATCCAATGGGGGATGCAGCCACCTCTGCTTGTATAGGCCTCAAGGATTGCGCTGCGCCTGCCCCATCGGCCTGGAACTCCTGAATGACATGAAGACCTGCATTGTCCCAGAAGCCTTCCTGCTGTTTTCCCGTAGAGCGGATATCAGGCGAATCTCTCTCGAGACAAACAACAATAATGTTGCTATTCCATTAACAGGAGTCAAGGAAGCCTCTGCCCTGGATTTTGATGTGACTGACAATCGTATATATTGGACAGACATCTCGTTGAAGGTAATGTGGTCATATCTGTCAGAGTTTGTTGCAGAAATCACATCCAGAAAGCACACACAGATAACCGATTCAGCAGGATTCATTAACTTCTTTATATACATATAACACATGAAGATAAATATACAATGCCAGTGGCAGATTCTCCAGTGCAGTGGTAGTTACAAGCAAAACACAGGCAGAGGAGAGAACAGTTTAGGTTTGATTCGGCAGACTAGTTTCAGTTCAGAAGCTGAGCACAGAGCTTAATACAAAGAGAACCTCCTCTATACAAGGCAGTTAAGCCAGGGGTCTGAAACCTTAAAACACTCAAAGAGCCATTTGGACCCATTTCCCACAGAAAAGAAAACATCAGGAGCCACAAAACCTGGGTGGGCGTGGCCAACTCGATGTCACTCACTTTATGATGCTACAAAGTTCGTAAGTGGGAAAAGGTCATACATCACTTTTTCCAGTGCCACTGTAACTTTGAACGGTCGCTAAATGAACCGTTGTAAGTCGAGGGCTATCTATAGCTTCTCCTTTCCTTTGCTAAATGCTTGTTAGTGGTATTATTCCAAAGAAGAGAGAGAAAAATGCATCTGGCTTCCCTGCTACAATATATAATCCTGTTTCCCCAAAAATAAGACCTCCCCAGATAATAAGCCCAATCGGGCTTTTGAGTGCATGTGCTAAAATAAGCCCCCCCCCAAAAAATAAACCCTCCCCCAAATAAACCCTCTCCAAAAATATTTATAATCGCACGTGCAGCAGTCCCCACCATTTCCTCTGGTTAGGGTTAGTTCTATTTGACAAGGAGCTTTGTTTGGATCCCTTCTCAAAGATACTGATAGGTAGCAGGGGCACCTTAATTTTCATGCTTCCCCTTTTCTCTTCCTTGCAGACCATCAGTAGAGCTTTCATGAACGGAAGTGCCTTGGAACACGTGGTTGAGTTTGGATTGGATTATCCAGAAGGCATGGCTGTGGATTGGTTAGGGAAGAATCTCTACTGGGCAGATACGGGAACAAATCGTATCGAAGTGTCAAAATTGGATGGGCAACATCGCCAAGTTCTGGTCTGGAAGGATCTTGACAGCCCTCGGGCGCTGGCTCTGGATCCTGCTGAAGGGTGAGCTGCTTGTTTAATTTTTGATACGAAGCAATTAATCTGAATTTTTAATCTGTTTTGTGTAATCTGAGAAATCAGCCCTAAAAAAATTCCATACTGTATTGTACGGGTACCAACCAGTTTAAGAAATTGGGCAGAAATACATCTATAAATCAAAACAAGGATAAAAAACTGAGGATACAACAATGCACTGGATTTTATAATTGGGTAATTCCATTTACTCAATTATAAAGAAGGGTACGGTGGCTCAGTGGCTAAGACGCTGAGCTTGTAGATTGAAAGGTTGGCAGTTCAGCGGTTCGAATCCCTAGTGCCGCATAACAGGCTGAACTCCAGTTACTTGTCCCAGCTTCTGCCAACCTAGCAGTTCGAAAATGCACGTAAAAAATGCATGTAGAAAAATAGGGACCACCTTTGGTGGGAAGGTAACAGCATTCAGTGGTGCTTTTGGCGTTTAGTCATGCTGGCCACATGACCACAGAGACTTCTTCAGACAGTGCTGGCTCTTCGGCTTAGAAACGGAAATGAGCACTGCCCCCTAGAGTCGGGAACAACTAACACATATGAGCAAGGGGAACCTTTACCTTTACCTAATTCCATTTACGTGTGCTATTTTTCTTAGCTATTTTATTATTTACATTTGCATAAAGCTCCCCTGAATTGGCCAGCCAGTGCAATTGCGCCAAATTAGTTTAAAATTCAATTCAAATTTTACACAAATGAACAGATACAGTGATAATCTTGTACAAAAATTCCCTTCTGTAAACAAAAATTAAGTCCCTCCCATAGTAAAAAGATACAACGCTACCAATTTCATAACAATGTAAATTGCTATTTAGAATTATACCAGTCTGGAATTTTTTTAAAAAAAAACTCCCTCCCTCCCTTAGTGAAGATTCAACACTACTAATTGCATAACAGTAATGTAAATTGCTATTTAGAATTATATTAGTCTGGAATGTATTAAAACATTTATAAAATATCAATATATTTGTTTTAGACAAAATGATGGAAAAGTTTAGTTTAGTTTTAGCTTTATTGAATTTGTATACCGCCCTACTCCCAAAGGACTCAGGGCGGTGAACAGCCAAAAATAAAACAATATAAAAAAACCCTCAACCCCATCTTCGCAGCATGCCACCTCTCTGGGTTCCAGGACCCATCATTGAGCTAGGCCCTCGATAACGCGGAAGGCCAGCCTTGCGAGAGGGGGGAGTCTCGCAGGGCAAGAAGCTGTGACCTTAAATACATCTAAAGCTCTGAGGTAGTGATAAGGTTTGGCCAAGGGCCCCGCTATGATAGTCCAAAATGTCCTAGATGGTCAAAACGACCCCCGGAGGCCCTCACCAGCCAAAACACCCCATCTCTACCGCAACGAGCCTAGAGCCGGGTCGCCATCTTGGAGCGTGCACAATTTTTGAAAAAAATTTTAAAACTTGTTTAGAAATCTTGCTCAGAATAATAAGTTTAAATTTTATCATTAGGATTTTTTTCTATTCCTGATTTGCTTGTGCATCTTTATGAAGTAAATATGGAATATTTGATATGTCTTCAGGTTTATGTACTGGACCGAATGGGGTGGGAAACCCAAGATTGACCGAGCAGCCATGGATGGTAGTGAACGTTGTACTTTAGTGCCAAATGTGGGGCGAGCAAATGGTCTGACAATCGATTACGTCAAAAGAAGATTGTATTGGACTGACTTGGATACCAATTTGATCGAATCTTCAAATATGCTGGGTGAGTTTTGCTTGGCCATGGATCTCAACACTATCTGACACTTGGGAAGGGGCTTCCTCCTGTATCTCCCTCTCAGTCTTCTCAAAGCCTTTTCAGGGCCTTCCATTGTTCTTTAACAATTTAATGACTTCTTGTAGTTCACATTTTATTTAGTATTAGCCACCTCAAAATCAGTAGAAAGGTGAAAAGGTGAAAAAAAAAGAAATTTAGAAGTTTTAGACATTGATTTATGACAGTCAATTTATCAAGAACTTATCTTCTACAAATTAGATATTCATTGATGCTTTAGTACTGTTCAGACATGGAGCAAAATGTACACATTAACACCCAAAAATAAAAGCAGATTCAAATAAACCCTTGCAAGCTCTCTTCTAGAAATGGGAAATAGGACTATATCATCAGAAAAAATGTCACATTTTGCAATTACGATTCCTGAAAGATAATGGAAATGTGGCTTAAGCTAATCTTTTTCGGACTCTGAACAGTGACAGGGTCAAGACAAAAATTACATTAAATTAAATTTAAAAACAGTTTTCATACTCCAATGTCTGAACTCTTCAGAATGAGCGAGGCCTTACGGGCCCCCATTTAAGAAATTCCTTCTCCCGGCAGGTACACCGGTTGTCAGCTAAATCTCTTTTTGGCCCTAGCTAAATAAGACATTTTGCAGATGATGGCCCAAAGATAAGCAAGATTAGGCCTGGATAGGACTTGGATGGGAGCCCATGAGGAACTCTTTAGGGCTTGGAAGTTAGAAAAGTATCTCAGAGGAAGGCAATGCCAAACCATTTCAGTACTATTGCCAAGATGTGTCCTTCACCCCTGAATGGGTTTCCTAATGACCTCCTGATGAAAGGGAAGCAGTGTTTTTCAGACACCTCCAAGACTGACAAGATGCTGCTACCTGAGCCAGACAGCCTAAATTTTAGACTTCTTTTATGAAGAAGAGAAGCAGGCTTTTATATTTATTTTTTTAATAATATTTTTTATTAACATACATAAATCATAATATATAATATATAACAATATGCACAATACAAACAATCAACAAGTGCTCCCCCATCCCTCGGGATCATTCCTGCTTTTATATTTATGATTCAAAAAAATAACATTTTTCCTACACCTATATTCCAGCAATAGAATGTTATACAAATAGCAGTAGCGCTTAGACTTACATACTGCTTCACAGTGCTTTACAGCCCTCTTTAAGCAGTTTATAGAGTCAGCCTATTGCTCCCAACAATCTGGGTCCTCGTTTTACTGACCTTGGAAAGATGGAAGGCTGATCCTTGAACCAGTCAGGATTGAACTCTTGAAGTGATCAGTGACTTAGCCTGCAGTACTGCATTCTAACCACTGAGCCACCATGGCTCTTAATATTGTACACGTTGTTTGTTCCCTTTGATAAGTACAATAGTTTGGGCCATTTTGTATTTTATTGACAAGTTTCATAATGTTCCAAGCGATACAGATTCTGCTTTGTACATGAGGGATAAGCAGTGTGCGTAAGGCAGGCATTCATGGCAATGCACAGGTAGTCCTTGACTTATGAATGTAATAGAGCCTGCCCACTTCAGTTGTAAATTGTGATGCTCATAAAGAAGGTCACTCACATAACCAACCCAATTTTAAAATTGTATCAGTCGAGCAAATTTATTGTTAATTATGAGCCGTTTTCAGCAAAAAGTCATAAATTGAGTCGTGATCATAGAATGCTGCAAACTGTCATAAACTGTGGCCAATTGCAAGTGCCCAACGTTTGATCACATGACTGTGGGGAAAGGGGACAACCATTGGAATTTCAGAACCAAGTTGTAAATAATATTCCGGGGAGGGGGTTTATTGTAACTTCAAACAGTTGCTAAACAACCAGTCGTAAGTCAAAGACTTATGATCACAATTGAGCCCCAAATTTTGTTGTTAAGTGAGACATTTGTTAAGTGAGTTTTGCCCCGTTTTGCAACCTTTCTTGCCACAGTTGTTAAGTTAATCACTGCAGTTGATAGTTAGTAACCCAGTTGTTAAGTGAATCTGGATTCCCCATTGACTTTGCTTATCAAAAGAGGATCACATGACCTTGGCACTCAGCAGTGGTCATAAGTGTGAACCAGTTGCCAAGCATCTAAATTTTGTTCACAGGATCATGGAGATACTACAAAGGTCATAACTGTGAAAAATTGTCATAAATTACTTTTTTCATTGCCGTTGTAACTTTGAACGGTCACTAAATGAACTTGTAAGTCGAGGACTACCTGTAGATAATTTCTTAGGGTGTTAGTGATTACCTGTAGAGGTGATACATCTAGTGATCTTCTACCTTTCTTTCATTTCATTCCCTTCCCCAAATCCAGGCCTCGACCGTGAAGTTATAGCCGATGATTTACCGCATCCCTTTGGCCTGACTCAATACCAGGATTACATCTACTGGACAGACTGGAGCCGACGTAGCATCGAACGTGCCAACAAGACCAGCGGACAGAATCGGACCATCATCCAAAACCACCTGGATTACGTGATGGACATCCTAGTCTTCCATTCATCCCGGCAAGCTGGCTGGAATGAGTGCGCTTCCAGCAACGGGCACTGCTCCCACCTCTGTCTGGCAGTGCCCGTAGGTGGCTTTGTCTGTGGATGTCCTGCTCATTATTCCTTGAACCCCGACAACAGAACATGTAGTGGTAAGCCAGAAACATGGATGGCGGTGTTAACCTGCATTCCTAAAGGTTCACTTGCCATAAACTGAGGCCATAAACTTTTTATGCTCGTACTCAGATAAAGATTGTTGAATTGAACCAAGGCTATTTTTTATTCTTAATCATAAAGTTTGCATCTTTTTCTCAAATCCGGATAGGCTACAGAAGATGGAAAGTTTTTGAGAGGCATGCCTGTAGGATTATAGTTTTTTTCCCCTCATTTCTTGGATGTGCATTATTTACCCATTAATTGCTATTTTTAACAATATTGCCTGGGAACAGTTATGAAGTAGATTTGCAAACCAGATTTGGACATTTTAACCTAAAAAGTATTTTTAGTGTCTTAAAAATTATTTTCTATTTTTAAAAATGGCGTTATAATTTCTCTACCCACCCCCTAAAGAATTTCCCTTTGAATAAGGTAAAGGTAAAGGTTCCCCTTGCACATATGTGCTAGTCGTTCCTGACTCTAGGGGGCAGTGCTCATCTCTGTTTCAAAGCCAAAGAGCCAGCACTGTCCGAAGAAGTCTGTGGTTATGTGGCCGGCATGACTAAACACCAAAGGTGCACGGAATGCTGTTCCCTTCCCACGAAAGGTGGTCCCTATTTTTCTACCTGCATTTTTTACGTGCTGCTAGGTTGGCAAAAGCTGGGACAAGTAACGGGAGCCCACCCCATTACGCGGCACTAGGGATTCGAACCGCTGAATTGCCGATCTTTCGATCAACAAGCTCAGCGTCTTATCCACTGTGCCACCACGTCCCTTCCCTTTGAATAGCACCTTCCTTTTTCCAATCTATCTCTTTAGGCTCAATTCTTTCCACAAAGGAAGGCCTCTCCTTTAATTGCTGCTATCTTTTCATTCTGTGGGCACTTTGGAATATTTTCAGAGTTGTGATCTTAACATCTTCAGCCTAACTCACACTTTCCCTTCTGTGTTTGTATTTCTCCCTAAGCCCCTACAAGTTTCTTGCTCTTCAGTCAGAAGAATGCAATCAATCGTATGGTGATCGATGGGTTGAAGAGCCCAGAGATCATCCTTCCGATACACAGCCTCAGAAATGTTCGGGCAATCGACTATGATCCCCTGGAGAAGCAGCTTTACTGGATCGACTCTCGCCAAAACATTATCAGACGGTCACAAGAAGATGGCAGTCAGGTATCTAAACAAGGGCTGTTCAGTTTTCAAAGAGAGACAAGAGCAAAATAATTCTTGTCTTACCGGATTTAATGTTTGAAACACATTATAAACGCTGCTGCTTGTGCAGTAGAATTTGCTGGTTATTAAACTGACAGATGGAAATCAGCTGAAAACAGGAACATCTTAATTTTGGATAGAGGAAGCAAATTCAGTGTTGAGTTTAGGTAGAGCTTAATTTTACTGTATAAATGTTTTAAAGGTATATGAATAAAGCTCATCAAAATAAGTTTTCAAAAGATCTTTGTTTAAATATGTCCTATTTAATTCTTTAGCTTCTTGAAAAGTAGATACAGGATCAGTCCAGTTTCTGAATTTTTAAGCCATGAGCTCTGAACGGACACATTCAATTTCAATTTTTTCATGTGGCAACCCCCCCCCCCAAAAAAATCAGGAAAAAACTTTGAAAAAGTAGTAAATTGATATATCACCAAAATATATCCCTTATTCATTTAATAACTGCATCAAATCACATGTATTGAATGTTAATTAGTACTGAATATTGATTATTCCTGTGCCCGATATAATCAAAATTCCCCTAAAACTCTCAGATTTAATGATTTTGGAATATAATTCAAAGCAACACTGACTTCTTTAAGTTCAAAACATTTATCCATACATTTCCTTATGTTGTAATCATGGAAAAAACACCTCAAGAGCCCAAGTTTTTGATGTTATGGTAGAAACATAAAATGAGTGCAACCCTTTAAATATCCATTGTGGCACTGGCTATAACTGAAGGAACCTTGGATCTTGTAAGTAATATAAATGGACTTTTGGGTAAATTGTCTTGGTAGCTGATTAGGCCTATATTAGTGTACCTACAGTATTAGAGGTAGTCCTTGACAATAATTTATTTAGTGACCATTTGAAATTACAGCAGCACTGAAAAAAGTGAGTTACCATGTTTCACACTTAAAACCATAGCAGCATCCCCATGGTCACATGATCAAAATCCACACAATTGGCAACTGGCATGGATTTGTGATGGTTGCAATGTCCTGGGGTCATGTGATCCCCTGTTGTGATAAGCAAAGTCAATGGGGAAGCCAGATTCACTTAACAACAGTGTTACTAATTTAATGACTCTGGCAAGAAAGGTTATGAAATGTGGCAAAACTCACTTAACAACTGTCCTGCTTAGCAGCAGAAATTTGGGGATTAGTCATGTCTACCGTAAGAATATGTGTATTGTCCTAGTAACTGCCTGAAGGGGATTTAAAAAATCCCCTCTTGGTTTGGGAAATTCAGATTGGGAGTGAAAGATTAACTCACGTAGCTTAGTTTTCTTCTCAGTATTGTCTCATATTTTGGTCTGAAATTTAAACAGGACTTTTGAGTGTGTCTCTCTTTTGAGTATTTGGTGTTTTGTCAAAGTATCAAGTTTCACAAATCCTCCCATTTGTGGAAGGTAGCCAAAAAAAACCCAACACAAACCTAAAAGAGAATCTACAGGTGGGATTAACACATCTACTGTTTCTCAACACTTGAATTGGTATTTTTATTCTTTTGCAGCCAAAAGAATTGCTCAACTTTTTTTGAGATTTATTTACGTATCATTTATAAGATTTATACATATGGCCATCAATCTTACGTTCCATAACCTTAGGTGGCTTATAAAATAGTGATAAAAACATCAAAGCAGTCTAGTGTTGTGTTCGCATTTCTAGCAATATTTTTTTTCTTTTTTAATATAAAAAAGTATGTATCACATACAGTATTTTTATACTGTCAATTGTAGAGTTTATCAATATTTGCTTAACAGGGAAAGTTGGATTCCTTTTTCACCATTTATTCTGCTGTTGCTCTTACTGTTTCTTGTTCAGTGAAGAAGAACGAAGAATAACAAACTTCATTGTCCTTCACCACCACTGATCATTGTGTATCCTAGCTGGTGGGACTGTCTAAAATATTTTGGGGAGGGTAGCAGGTTGACAGAATGACAGAGTTATATAATTTGTCCCACACTAAGTTAGCTCTGTGCCAAGTTCCGGTTTGTTTCTGATGGAGTCCTTGAAGCATCTTGTACCTTCCTTCCAGAGTTCTACCATTGTGATGAGTCCCGTCCCCAACCAAAATCTAGATATCCAGCCATATGATCTGAGTATTGATATTTACAGCCGTTACATTTACTGGACTTGTGAAGCCACAAACGTCATCAATGTCACGCGGCTGGATGGACGGTTGATGGGCGTGGTGTTGAAAAACGAACAGGATCGGCCCAGAGCTATCGTTGTGAATCCAGAGAAGGGGTAAGTAGGTTGCAGGATGGGAAATGTTTAGACATTCCAGTTCCAGATCCTTTTATCACTTGACTTATCTCCTGCTCTTGTTTTCTGCTGTGCCACGTCAACCATTTTATGTTTGAATGCTTTAAAGAAAATCAATATCACGATATAAATCCTGAGGCGCTAACACTCACGTTCTAAAATGTGCATTATCTAAACAAATGACATATTGTTTTATGCCTTTAATGGTTATGCACATTTTAGTTCAGGTGTGTAAAACATGAGGAAAAACAAGGAACCACTCAAGGAATTGATACCATTTTTTTGTTGCTTCCACTTTTGATTTCTAGAAACTTCAAGAAGCACCAGCATTTAGGAAGCCATGAGAGAAAGAAGGGGAAATGATGAACAAAATGTTTTTTATATCCCTTTTCAAATTTGTCAAACTTAAAATAGTGGGAGTTATTTTTTATTACCTTTCTAAGTTGCTTAAGAGTTCCATTCTTAAGTGTCGGAAAACACTTGATTTAAACTATATTACACAAAATAAAAGCCGGTCCAAGGAAACATGGAATAAAGAAGTTAAAATCAGTGGCGCTATATTTATAATAAAGAATGCATATAATTGTAATAATAAATCAGTACAGAAATGTGAAATTGTTTTTATAACATCTAAGAATTTTAAAGATGTCTTCATCTATGAAACTAAAGGATTTATGTAGCACAATTTTGTAAATAGTGTGTGTAATACAGATAAAATAAATGAATAGGAGAATCCTCCATAAATTAAGCAGTTTCCTAATCTTTATAGAAGCAGAAGGATTAAATAAAATGTTTAGGAACTATTTAGTCTCACGTTTTTTGTAAACCACAGAATTTTTTAAAAATTAAAATATTCTTCCTGCTACAAAGCAAAGGGAGAGTAAATCCAGAACAGTTGGTGGATTTTTAAGCTCTAGTTAATGAACTGTACTTCATTAATGAGAGCTTAAAATTATGTATGCAGTCATAATTAACAGATTAAGATATTAGCTGCTTTTTAACATGCAGCTTTTCTGTTTACTTTTTAAATACAATACAATTCTTATTTTTTTTTTAAAAAAAAATGACATCAAAGATTATCTGCATTTCAAACTTTGAACCCTAAGTAACTGATACCATCAAAACACGTAGCTTTGGAAAATTGGAAGGAAACTTTCTTGTGTTTTTTAAATTAATTTTAAATAAAATAAAACGTTGAATTCCATGTAACTCCAAGTAGCTTCTTTGGCAATGGTGTGGAATTGTCTTTTTCCAGAACCTTCATTCAACCTTCAGCTTCAGATTTTCTTATAGCCTCCCACCAAGGGTGGTATTCACTTACTTTCCCTACCGGTTCGCAAATGTGCGCACACGTGCCCCATCCACGTATGCACCTGGCTTTCTGCACATGCGCTTTGCTGATGTGCGTGCCTTCCACACATGCGCCCAGCCTCAAAAACGTACCTAAATAGGATGGTGGGGGGAGAGCTCACCCGCAATTTCCGCTACCAGTTCGGGCGAACCGGTCCGAACTGGCTGAATACCACCTCTGCCTCCCACCCAATGTGCATCACATTTAATTATTTCAAAATCAGCTGTTTGCCAGCACCTCTTGTGTGTTGTGTTTTTTTTTTTTTTACTTAGTGTTCTCTTCCCTGCATCCACAAGCAGTCCAACGATATCCAGCCTGCTGATTTAGTAGGGGACAGGATAGAAAGACCACGCGTGAAATAACTTGATTGTCTTTCATTTGGCAGGTACATGTATTTCACCAACTTCCAAGAAAGATCTCCCCCTAAAATTGAAAGGGCGGCATTAGACGGAACTGAACGGGAGGTCCTCTTTTCCAGCGGGCTCAGTAAACCCGTTGCCTTGGCCGTCGATAACAATTTGGGGAAGTTATTCTGGGCAGACTCCGACCTGCGGAGAATCGAGAGCAGCGATCTGTCTGGTAGGATAAAGTGTTTTTTTTTTTTTTTTGCTTTCAATTAATCCCCCTAATTAATACCCTTCCTTTTGAGAATCAAACCGTGTTGCAAACTGCTTGTTACAGAAGTTGTGTTCTAACAACATTCCTTTTATACTTAGGCTTTCCAGATTGAGCCACGGTTTAACTGTGCTAATCTAAGAACCCAAATGTACGATGCTAAATCTAATCATGCATACAGCCCAGCATTGTTCTCTTCCCTATTACGGTGTAATTACAGCTTTTCCATGGATGATTCCTAGTTACCTTTGTAACGATTTGTGTATTCCTCTTGGGTTACCTTGACTCAAATTAGTGCACTGCCTATTACAGAGAAAATAGGGAAATTTGCTAATCTCCTGTACAATAACCATATACAGACATTAAAACAGTAACCAGAATAGTTAAACTGACCAGAATAGTTAGTTGGGCTTTCTGATCAAGACGTTGCAGCCTTCCTTTTGCAACTTGGGCAAGCAATTAAAAAAAAAAACCTCTGTGGCTTGCAAAAGTCCTTTTCTACCTTCTTTTCGTTATTACTTATTTCAGGTTTTGATTTTCCTGTACAGGTAGTTCTCAACTTATCACAATTGAGCCCAAAATTTATGTTGTTAAATAAGACATTTGTTAAGTGAATTTTGCCTCATCTTACAACCTTCCTTGCCACAGTTGTTAAGTGAATCACTGCAGTGGATAAATTGGTAACAAGGTTGTTAAGTGAATCAGGCTTCTCCATGGATTTTGCTTGTCAAAAGGTTACAAAAGGTGATGACATGACCTTGGGAAACAGCAACGGTCATAAGTATGGATCAGTTGCCAAGCATCTGAATTACGATCACAGGGATTCTGCAAAGGTTGTAAGTGTGAAAAATGATCATAAGTCACTGTTTTCAGTGCCGTTGTAGCTTTGAACAGCCACTAAATGAACTGTTATAAGTCAAGCAAGAGCCTTGGTAGTACAGTGGTCTAAGGCACCCTGTTATTAAGCTGGTTATTAAGACCAACTGCCTGCAATTACTGCAGGGTTCGAATCTCGCCAAGGCTCAAGGTTGACTCAGCCTTCCATCCTTTCTAAGGTAGGTAAATTGAGGACCCAGTTTGTGGGGGCAATAAGCTGACTTTGTATAAATATACAAAAGGATGAAGGCTATTGCTTAACGCATTGTAAGCCGCCCTGAGTCTTCGGAGAAGGGCGGCATATAAATCAAATTTAAAAAAAAAAAAAAGCACTACTTGTATTCCCACCTCTGCTTTCTTTACAAATAGTGATTTACATTAAACCACAAGAGCATTTTTACGAAGCCCCTTACTCGCTTTCTCTCTCTTTTTTTCCCCCTGTACGATAGAACACATTTACAAGTCATAATTGGGGTTTCTGGAAGACCTATTCTGTGGTTAGAAAATTATATCTTGCGGTTTGGTTGGATGAGATTTAGAGAACCTTATAGCTCTATTGGTGGGAGAGCTGGAACCATTGATTTTCCTTTTAAAAAATAAAACCCCCCACATTCCTCAATCCCTGTCAAGAAAGTTGGGATCTCCTTTTCAATGGGATGAGTCAGAATTACAAACCAGTACAAACGTGATCCCGGTGATTCTTCAAATGCCCCCAATTCTATTCAGAATAGAAGATACTATAGAATAAAATAATCCCTGGAGTTTGGAGGGAGAGTCTTTTGAACAGTGGAAGAACAGGTGGTGGCATTCAGCCAGTTCAGATCGGTTTGGGCGAACCAGTAGTAGCAACCTATGGGTGGCCCACCCCCACCCTGGGGTTATGCCGTCCTATTTAGACACGTTTTCTAAGCCGTGTGCATCGGGTGGGTTCTACTTACCTTTACTACCGGTTCGGAACGGGATCGTGCGTGCACCTTGCTTCTGCGCATGCGCAGATCGCCAATGATGACATCCGGGGCAATGGGCGGGGCCTCCTGCCAGATTTACTACCAGTTCTTGTGAACCAGTCCAAACCAGGGACAACCCACCAGTGGCATGCAAGCTGCACGCACGAGCAAAGCACATGTGCAGAAGGGGCGCAAGTGAAGCAAGCGTGTGCGTGAATTCACATTTTTGGTGCACAGTGAACCGGTGGTAAAATTATGTGAAACCCACCTCTGGATAGTAGCAAGAATGTCTTCCTCAGATTAGCAGGTGAGATACCTGGAGAAAGCAGACTTTTCTTCCCACATATTCTCATACTGGAGTGGCTAGGACAGTCTAGCGTTTCTGCTTTTTCGCAGCATAGAGACTTCACCTGTTTCTGTTTCCTAGATTGTAATGTTCAGCTCAGTTGATAACATTGTGATTTGTAATGTTCTAAAACCATATTTCCTGGAAGTCGGGTTTGTCTCTTCCCATATGAAATTTGGCATCAGCCTTGCAACATCTGCTTTTGGCTCCATCAGAATGATAGGCATTGCTAGAAAGATTTTTTTTCCCCCCAGGGATGTTATCATATCTCAAAACAGGTGTGGTTCCATTTAGATCAATTTTAGATACATGTTAAATATACTTACCTTTCACTTTCTGTTGAAATGCATGCTAATCAACTTAAATCAGGAACTTTTATTGGTTGCTGATATTAATATTGTTGTTGGACTGGATCTGGGTAGTCCACTTTTAAAGTCATGGAAGGTCTGCATTGCGTCTTGTGACTGGATATCCCATCAATTTAATAACTTTTATGCAAACTATATTGTCTTTATGCCGAAACTTCTGGCAATCAGCTCCAGAGATGTTGCATTATTAAGGAGAAGACAAATCTTTTGTAACATTTTGTTTCCAAACATAAACTTGGAACGTTTGAAATTTGTTTACAGCTGTTGTGCATTTTATTGAGCTCATTCGGCATTATGGTTTAGGCATCTCACATTAAGACACAGTCACAGCATATGTGAAGTCAAAAATATTTTGTTTTGGTTCAGTTTCCCCTTTCTTCCCCCCATTTCAAAGGTGCAAATCGGATAGTATTAGAAGATTCCAACATACTGCAGCCTATAGGCCTGACCGTATTTGAAAAATGGCTTTACTGGATTGATCGTCATCAACAGATGATTGAGAAAATTGACGTGACTCGCCAAGAGGGACGTACAAAGGTTCAGGCTCGAATTGCTCAGCTGAGTGACATCCATGCCGTTAAAGAACTCAACATGCAGGAATACCGTAAGTCAAGGGTGTCAAACTCGATTTCATTGAGGGCCGCATCAGGGTTTGTGTTTGACCTCAGAGGGCCAGGGGAGGGCGGTATGGCCAGCTCTATGTCACTCAGTCGGGGGCACCTGTGGTGGCCAAGTGCTAAGGCAGGACTGTCAGGGCATTTATTAATCCCATGTTTGGCTCTGGGACTAATTACCCTGGTTTAGAGGAGGAGATGAATCGAGGCTTATTCCAAGTTGCAATATTCTGAAAAGAAACGCGAGAAAAGTTTCTAATAAAACTCATTTATTTGTTATAAAGAAAATAAAACACTTCACTAACTAAGAAAAGTTAATTGTTACATTTTTAAAAATAAATCGGGCCAGTTGCTTTCCAGCAACCGGCACTCCTGGCAAGAGAACAAAGGAAAGAGTGTGTGAAGCAAGTGAAGGAATGTGGGTGGATGGACATGCGTAGTAGCTTTTGATAACAATTCTTGGCAAGGTACGGAAAGTCAGATAGTCCAGAAATAATGAGCTCAGCTGGTAAATAAAATAACGCAGTGACAAGGACTTCCCTGAGACCATCCCTCACATTATATCCTTCCTTCCTTCCTTCCTTCCTTCCTTCCTTCCTTCCTTCCTTCCTTCCTTTTCTTCTTTTTCCTTCCTTCTTCCTTCCCCTCTTTCCTTATTTTTCCTTCCTTGCTCTCTTCCTATCTTTCCTTCTTTTTCTTTGTCTTTCCTTTTTTCCTTTCCTGTCCCTTCTTGCATGCTGAAATGCAAGAGGATAAACATTTCTCCTTTTGTTTTGTTTTCAGTTTGTTTTGATAGCCCTCTGCCAGCTAAAACGGGGCTTGGGGGGGCTGCATGCGGTCCCCCGCACCCCGTTTTTGGCTGCGACGGCCTCCTGCAGCCCTCTGCTGGTCCTGTTTTTGTTTGCGTGCGGCCCCCTGAGCTCCATTTTCACTGGCAGAGGCATCACGGGCTGGTCCTTTGCTGTTTCCAGACTGGCCCTGCAGGCCAGATCTAAGCACCCAGCGGGCCATATGCGGCCCACGGGCCTTGAGTTTGACAACCCTGCCATAAGTATTTCACCACACCGAAGGAAGAACTTAAATGTTACCTCTCATAAAACAGCTTCCCTATAATTTATTAGTTGGAGAATTCTGAGAGTGACATTTATTCATCTCATACTTGCCAAGTTTGAGAAATACTGGTTTGAAAGCTCTTATGCTTAGTTAGAAGATTCCCATTTACAGTAGATCCCATGCAAAATAATATTTTCATGAGATTAGCAGGTGAGATACTTTGAGAAAGCAGACCTTTCTTTACTCATATTCTCATAATGGCCTGGCTGGGACACTACAACGTTTCTTGTTTTTTCACAGCATAGAGACTTCACATGTTTCAGTTTTTTAGATTGTAATTTTAAGCTCAGTTGATAACATTATGATTTTTAACGTTCTAAAATCATATTTCTTGGAGGTGGGATTTGTCCCTTCCCATATGAAACTTTGGCATCAGCCTTGCAACATCTGTTTTTGGCTTTATCAGAATGATAGGCATTGCTAGAAAGAACGCCCCTGCCCCCCCCAAGGAAAATGTTAGATTTGCAGCTCATTTCTTATTGTTTAACTTTCTTTGGAAGGAAAGTGCATCAGTCAGTTTAACAATATGACCATCTTAAGTCTGTTGGGATACTATGCTGACCTTAGAATCTTCCCAGAAATGTCATCATGCAGAGATAGCTTCACATTTATATTCCAAGACATTGAAAAGATGTTTTGGTGCTAAAGTTTGCACTTACATTTGCCCTTCTTGCTAAAATCATTTGTACTTTTTCAAAGAATTATTGATCTTCATGGAGATTTTGAGCCACTTCTAGGAGGCAGTCTGAAATCTATAGTTCTCTGATTTAAAAAAAAGCAGGCAAACAGGTGTTTGAGATATAAAATATCATCTGTAAATGCTCTTCATCTTTCAGGACAGCACCCCTGCTCCCAAGATAACGGTGGCTGTTCTCACATCTGCATTATAAAAAACGATGGAACTACACGTTGCTCCTGTCCCATGCATCTAGTCCTTCTTGAAGATGAACTTTCCTGCGGAGGTAAGACTTTTTTTCCTTAAGGTATTCTTGATTTAGGTAGAAGGAGGTGCGGTGGCTCCGTGGCTTAATGATGCTGGAGATGGTCTCAGCATCAGTGGTTCGAGCCCAAGCACTGTATGGCAGAATGAGCTCCCGTCACTCTCCTCAGTTTCAGTCCACCTAACAGTTCAAAAACATCTTCTGTGCAAGTTGATAGATGGGTACCACTTCGGTGGGGAGATGAGCTGGTGCTCTGTGCAGGCAGGCAAATTCATGATGACTCTGAACCTTCCCGGTTGTGGTGCTCGCTTGCAAGGCAGTTCTGCGAAGGGTTGGAAGCCTTGGGTGATGCTGCAGGAAGAGCCACTTGTCTCGCCCTCCTGTGGCACACTTTGGGAAGTGTGCAAGCGTGTCATATAAAAGGGCTGGTACCCTTGGCAAGCCCAACTACTACTCTGCAATAGCTTTGTGGTCTCCTGGCTACTGTAACAATGCTGTATTTTAATAGCAATAGCACTTAGACTTATATACCACTTCACAGTGCCTTACAGCCTTCTCTAAGTGGTTTACAGAGTCAGCATATTGCTTTGACTCCGCCTTCCATCCTTCCGACGTGGTAAAACGAGGACCCAGATTGTTAGGGGGGGGGCAATATGCTGACTCTTTAAACTGCTTAGAGAGGGCTGTAAAGCACTGTGAAGCGGTATATAAGTCTAAGCACTATTGTTATTGTATATTGAGGTACAACTATGGTTCCTAGAGTCATTGTGTTCTGCCCTAGCTACGGACCCAAAGAACGCAGCACACACAAAGTCTGTACAAACCTTAGTTTACTAAATAAACCAGTTTTTTACAACAACGGCTGTTAATTAACTGCATTAACAGCCGCCAAGAATTCAAAGAATAATACTGAAAGCTTACTGTGGTTGGCAGAATGCCCAGAAGCAATTTGCAGGAAGCTGATAAGATAAGCAAGACAAAGACACGAAGATATGTGAACGAAGTTGTTCCCTGCAAATTGCTTCAGTCGGCATTCCTCCTTAAATAGGCTCAGGGAGTGGCCAATTAGCCCCAAGCCTTACTCTCGAGGAGACCTCCTCCTGAGGAGCCACTCTAGCCTTTTGGCAGCTCTGCGCGCCCGTGCATCGAGAAGAGGCTCCTCCTCTTCTTCCTCTTCACTTATGGGAGCTTCTGGAGGTTCTGAAGGCCCTGGCTGAATCCCCGCCTCTGGCACCACATCTTCTCCAGCCTCCTCATTGTCCGACTCGAGTGCCAGCTGCACAGGCTGCTGGTGCAGCACCACACCAGCCTCCTCGCTGTCTGAATCAGCTACTAGCTGCACAGGCCGCATACGGGCCACAACATATTGGTCACGGGCAGAGAGAGTTCAAGCAATGCATGTTTCAATCAAATCCCAAATTGCCAGATACGTAACTCCAGCTTGTGCTGAGATACACAGTATTTAGACAGCTACTTCACTTATTGTTTTTGTTGCATCTGAAAATAGAGAGTTCCCTCTCCCCAACAGAGCCTCCAACTTGCTCCCCGCAACAGTTCACGTGTTACACAGGAGAGATTGACTGCATCCCTGTGTCCTGGCGTTGTGATGGGTTCACGGAGTGTGAAGATGCCAGTGATGAGAAGAACTGCCCCTTGTGCTCCGATTCCCAGTTCCAGTGTGAGAGCGGGCAGTGCATTGATGCCGCCCTGCAGTGCAACGGAGAACCAAATTGTCAGGATAACTCAGACGAAAAGAAATGCAAAGGTATTCCATGTTCCTGAGCAGTTCAGCGGTTCGAATCCCTAGTACAGGTCTCCTGTGTGAGCAGAGGGTTGGACTAAATGACCTCCAAGGTCCCTTCCAACTCTGTTACTGTTAAAGTAGAGATTGCTAAAGGTAGTCCTCGACTTACGACCACAATTGAGCCCCAAATTCCCACGGCTAAGCAAGACAGCCGATAAGTCAGTTTTGCCCCCGTTCTACGACCTTTCTTGCCACAGTTGTAAAGTGGATCACAGGTGTGTGTTAAATGAGTAACACAGTTGTCCGGTGAATCTGGCTTCCCCGTTGACTTTGCTTGTCAGAAGGTCGCAAAAGGGAACCGCATGACCCCGGGACGCTGCAACCGTCATAAATGTGAATCAGTTGTCAAGCATCCGAATATAAATCACAGGACCGCGAGGATGCTGGAACGGTCATAAACGTGAAAAAATGGTCATAAGTCATTTTTTTTCAGTGCTGTTGTAACTTGGAATGTGAACTGTTGTATGCTGAGGACTACCTTTTTCAATTATGGTTAAATCAAGGATTAGTTGTAGTAGGCTGTGTTGTCCACTGGGGGGAGATGTTGTGCATTTGTGGCCAGCAACTCGCATTGTTTTTGTTGTTGTTGTTGTTCCTTGGCAATGCAATTCTGGCATTGTTTGTAATGCTGGCATTAGCCTAAGCAGTGTAAGTTACTGTGAGGTCCACTTTCACCCTGAATAAGCCATCCACCCCTTTGAAATTCCTTATTAATCTAGTTTACATGTTTAGTTTTGCCAGATGATGGCTTTGAAAGTGTACCTTTCATTGTACGCTTCCCTGGGGAAATTTTACCTTTAAACAGCAAGCTGCAAAATTTGAAATCAGGTGTATACAATAATAAAGGCAATCCAAGATAAGGAAGTTATTTTTGTTCAGTCTAAAACGTTTACCAATGCGGTTACTTGTCTTATGTCTTTATCTGTTGAACTTCTAACTTGCAATTTTAAATATTTTTCTCGTCCCTTAATGATGGATTTGCTTTCCGCCCTCCAGTGCTTTGTTTAACTGACCAGTTCCGGTGTGCGAGTGGTCAGTGCATTGGGAAAAACAAGAAATGTGATCACAGCCTAGATTGTAATGACAATTCAGACGAACAGGGCTGCTGTAAGTATACCCATATGTATATGGTTATATGTTTTTAATGTTTTACTTCTTTGTTTCGCTTCATTGTCTTTTGTTTTGTTGTAAGCTGCAGGGAGTCAGAATTATTCAGCAGCATGCAAAAATAAAATTTGCTTTGCTGAATGGCAGGCTTAGCAACAATTGCCCCTTCACATGCTGACAGTGTTCTGCTCTGTGCAACGAAACATGGCATGTTAGGTTTGATTTGTACTGTTGATGTTACCTAATTTGGGTAATGACACACCTGCAAGAAAATAATCAGGGGGGGGAGAGAGCACCAAGGACCCCTCAGTTTGATTCGTTCTGTGTAATTTTGCTTTAATTTGTATCTCGCGGAAGGCTACTCATGTGTGAAGATACTCAGCTTTACTAAAATTCAGTTTTTGTGTCAAGTATCAATATAGTGAAGCAGGTCAGTTATTTCATGCTTTGTCCCTCTTTCCATTGATATAATTGGGCAGATTTCAGAACACATTAGAATAGAAATAGAAATAATAGGAATAGGGATGGGATAGGATGGAAATAGCAATAGCACTTAGACTTATATACCGCTTCACAGTGCTTTACAGCCTTCTCCAAGTGGTTTACAGAATCAGCCTATTGCCCTCAACAATCTGGGTCCTCATTTTACTGACTTTGGAAGGATGGAAGGCTGAGTCAAACTGGAGCTGGTCAGAATCGAACTCCCGGCAGTGAGCAATGAGTTAGCCTGCAATACTGCATTCTAACCACTGCACCACCACGATTAGAATAGAACAGAACAGAGCAGAGAATAGGAGTAGAGTAGAGTAAAGAATAGAAATAGAATAAAGGAGAGGGATAAACTAGAATAGAATATAGAATAGAATAGAATAGAATAGAATAGAATAGAATAGAATAGAATAGAATAGAATAGGAATATAGAATAGGAATATAGAATAGGAATATAGAATAGGAATATAGAATAGGAATATAGAATAGGAATATAGCAATAGCAATATCAAATAGACTTATATACCACTTCACAGTGCTTTACAGCCCACTCTAAGCGGTTTACAGAGTCAGCCTATTGCCCCCAACAATCTGGGTCCTCATTTTACCCACCTCGGAAGGCTGGAAGGCTGAGTCAACCTTGAGCCGGTGAGATTCAATCTGCTGAACTGCAGCTAGCACTCAGCTGAAGTAGCCTGCAGTGCTGCACTCTAACCGCTGTGCCACCTCGGCTCTATAGAATAGAATACAATAGAATAAAATAGAACGTACTAATACTATCTGAATACAAAACTATACTAAACTAATACTATGTTAATGCTATACTATGCTGTGCTATTTATACTATATTTTTTCTCTGGTGCATAAGCTCTCATATTAATGATATAATACTAATATTCTCTAATGATATCTATTAGAGAAGATAGTAGAAAAGATGAGAAGGATAATAGTAAAACAGCTATACAAATGGGTAAATATAGACAAAAGACATTAAGGAATAGAGAAGTTCTACCGAGCTGTAGTCTTTTTTTTAAGTTTGATTTTTCTCCTTCCTTTTAAGACACAACCGAAGAACCAGCCCCACCTGCCACCAACACAATTGGCTCCATCATCGGTGTGATCCTTACAGTTTTTGTCGTTGGTGCGATGTACTTCGTTTGTCAGAGAGTGCTGTGCCCACGCATGAAAGGAGATGGAGAAACAATGACCAATGACTACGTTGTCCATGGACCGTCTTCTGTGCCTCTGGGTTATGTGCCTCACCCAAGCTCCCTTTCTGGATCTCTTCCAGGTCAGATTTATACAGGTAGTCCTCGATTTACAACAGTTCCTTTAGTGACCGTTCAAAATTACAATGGCACTGAAAAAAAGTGACTTACGTCCATTTTTCACACTTACGACCTTTGGAGCATTGAGGGAATCCAGCAAAGCATTTTGCTAGTTTAGGACATTAAGAAAATGTCCAGCGTGGCTGGAAATCTTATAAAAAAGGCTACAGATTTGTGACTTGCATTTGGGAAGGCAAAAGTGTCACATCAATTGTATCTCTTCCTTAGTGTGTAAAATTAGAGGGGAGGGCAAACAGATTCTTCAGACACATCTTTTTGTGGTCTTAAGTTCTCTCGTTCCCCAGAATGCCTCCATCGCAGTGGTGGAATTCAATTTTTTTTACCACCAGTTCTGTGGGCGTGGCTTGGTGGGTGTGGAAGGGGAAGGATACTGCAAAATCCCCATTCCCTCCCCACTCCAGGGGAAGGATACTGCAAAATTCCCATTTCCTCCCCACTCCTGGGGGAAGGATATTGCAAAATCTCCATTCACACCCCACTCTGGGGCCAGCCATAGGTGGTATTTGCCGTTTCTCCAAACTATTCAAAGTTTCTGCTACCGGTTCTCCAGAACTGGTCAGAACCTGCTGAATTTCACCCCTGCTCCATCGGTCCTGGGAAATCCATCTTCAGAATGACCTCTGCGTCATTATGATCATAAAACCAGGACTCCTCTTAAATTAGGTTGGACAAATGATCCTTAAATAAATCTTCTTAGTCTTTAACTGAATTCCCTTGGGTTTTCTTTAGGAATGTCCCGCGGTAAATCTGTGATCAGTTCACTTAGCATCATGGCAGGAAGCAGCGGCCCACCTTATGACAGAGCTCACGTCACTGGGGCGTCCTCCAGCAGCTCCTCCAGCATCAAAGGAACCTACTTCCCTCCAGTAAGAGACACCCCCCCCCTTTTCTTTTCTTTTTTTGGAATCTTAAATCTGAAAGATTAATTCTCAACACAAAACTGAAGCAATTCAGTAAAGTTGATGGAACCATATGGATAACATGGGAGAAAATGTGAGTTTAGGTTTGCATGAAAATTAAGATTAATCATGTTGCCCTATCCTACTTCCCTTTATTGGCAGTATTTTATGATGAAGGGCACATTCTCCTTACTTATATTCTTTCACAAACACTTTCTACTGGTATTTTAATCTCACCTTCCTTCCTCCCTCCCTCCCTCTTTCCTTCTTCCTTCCTTCTTTCCTCCCTTCCTCCCTCTCTATTTCCTCCCTCCTATTTCCTTCCTTCCCCCCTCACTAAGTCCTCCCTCCCTCCCTATTTCTTCCCGCTTTCCCTCCCTATTTCTTTCCTCCCTCCCCCCTCCTTTCCTCCCTATTTCCTTACTCGCTCGCTCGCTTGCTAGCTCTTCCCAAACCAATAAAATACATGGACAAATTTTAAATTACAGAATTCCAAACCTGAACCAATTAACAATGGGCAAAGGGCACCAATCAAAGATCTTAGTGGAAACTTAACAACTGTTTTCCTGGCTTCCCAATTAGGACTTGCAGAAGGAAGACCTTGACCTCTTGGTTAGAAAAACCACTAAAAAGCCTTTTGGTACTTTGCATTTTGGTTTGGGTGGTTGTGCCAAGAAAGTTACCATAGATGCGAATCCTAAAGTATATCTTGTTTATGTACTCTTTCAAAAAGTGCAGATCAGAGCATTTGCTTAAAATACTGCGGGAAGGGGGGGGGAATTCTTAAGTATCCTTGTGGGAGGGAAGGATAGTGTGATACTTTAAATTTAACAGATTAATACGGATCGTTGGGGCATCTATTGATCATTGTGGAAACTCCAACGTGATTGTGGAGATCTAGTGGAGTAATTGAACGGGATCCTGTCTAATCTAAAATGTTTAATTTGTATATTGGTGGAGGATTCTTGGCTGTGTTGAAATTATCTGAACAAAATACTCTATTGGCCAGTTTAAATTTTATTTATGAAGAATGGGTGCTTCAAGAAGAAAGGGTAGAAAATAAATATAATGAATAGAATAAAAGTAAAGATCATTTTTGGGATTTGTTTTAACGTCATTTGAGGAAAACGTACTATAAGAAAGATTTATCGTGAGACTTGAGAAGAAACAGATATAACTGTTGATTTTTTAAAAAATTATTTTCTGTGCCACTGTTTCCAACTTTAAGACGTGTGGACTTTGTCAATGTGCTGGCGGGGGGATTCTGGGAGTTGAAGTCCCCAACATCTTAAAGGTTGCTAAGGTTGAGAAACACTGCACTAAGCACTGCTTTGGCTCTTAAGCAGAAAAGTGATTTATCAAGTTATTAAGTAAATACGTCCTTAAAGGATCCAATTCCAGCTGAAAGTAACAGAGACACAGAATACAAATTATTCTGAAGATTGTCAGAATCCAAATGGGAAAGATGGCTTATAGTTACACCAGGGGAGAGAAATTAGGTTTAAATGTAATAAACAAAAAGAAAATACCTCTACAAAAGCAGTGCTATAGTATATGTAATAAACTTCAGTTTGATGTTCAGTATGGCCTTCCTGGTGTGGAGAAAAACATTTCCTTTGAGCAAATACGGTAAAACTGACACTCCCTCTATTCTCCCTTTAAAGATTTTGAACCCTCCTCCATCACCAGCAACAGAGGACTCCCGCTACACAATGGAATTTGGTTATTCGTCCAACAGCCCTTCTACACACAGGTCGTACAGGTAAGTCCTCATGTCCCCAGTCTGAGGTTTGTGATACTTGTCCAATAGGTTCAGGATATTTTCTGGCAGCAATTTGCGCTGCATCTGGAGAAAAGATGGACCACGAGGCCAGGCTTTCTGTAGAAGGCATGAAATTCTTCTGGCTTGATTGCTGCTACAGCAATTCTTAGAAATAGGAAGCTGTTTTTGAAAGCCTGCTTGATGGAGGACACCCACGGAGCCAGGTTGACCTTCCATCTCATTTAAGAGCCACCCACTCTGTAAGAGGAAGTCAATCCAAAAATCATGTCCTCCTTGAATGTCTACGGAGATTCTTAGTCATCCAGATCACTGTTGTCCCAAAGGTGCTTTTTCAAGAGGCAACTGGACTTTCTGGGGGGGAGTTTTGAAGACGTTTCGCTTCTCATCCAAGACGCTTCAGAGCTGAAGAAGCATCTTGGATGAGAAGCGAAATGTCTTCAAAGAAAAACCAGAAAGTCCAGTTGTCTCTTGAAAAAAAAAAAAAGCACCTTTTGGGACATGTCCTTCCTTGGTGGCAACAGATAACAACGCCACATGGCTCGAGAAGACCTTCGGCTGTTTTCTGATGTTGATGCTCACACGCCTCTTAATGTTTTCTGCACAGCTACAGGCCGTACAGCTACCGCCATTTTGCACCTCCCACAACCCCGTGCAGCACCGACGTTTGTGACAGTGACTACGCACCCAGCCGTCGGGTGATGACCGTGGGGGGCAAAGGCTATGCCAGCGACCTCAACTACGATTCTGAGCCCACGCCACCGCCACCGACCCCACGCAGCCAGTACTTGTCCGCAGAGGAGAACTATGAGAGCTGCCCGCCCTCCCCGTACACAGAGCGGAGCTACACACACCACCTCTACCCGCCGCCCCCTTCTCCTTGCACCGATTCCTCATGAGGGAAGCCCCCCACCTCAACTGCGTCCAGCTCAGCTGTGTAAATAGTGTTGCTTGGGAGCAGACTCTCCTGTGTACAGTTAAAAAGTTTGACCTGGGGGAAGTTGCCTTTTGTAGAATGGGGGAGAGGGAGGGAGCAAAGAGGTTATTTATATATTTTTCTTAAAACAGAAATTGCTGCTTTGTGACATAAGAAAATTTTTTTTAAAAAAGTTTGTATACAAAGTTTTTTTTAATTATTATTTTTCCAAATGGAACACAAGAAGATGCCTTAAATCCGTGAAGGGACTGAGCATGTAAGGAAACGGAAGGACCCGGAGATGTTGCTGTTCAATGAGCCAAATATCAAAAAAGAAGACAAAAAAAGGAGGAAGTGGCTTTTAAAAAAAAAAAAAAAAAAGAGGAAGGCAAAAACAAGGAAAAGAGTAAAAGGACAGAAACCACAAAGCAGCATTTAAAAAATACCTGCAAAGAGCTGAGTAACTTAATGTTTTTTTTACTCTGACGGGAGCAATTAAATTAAACTTGAAGAAAACTGTTGAGGCAGATCGGTACACCAAGGACTTTGTTTCCTACAAAAAATGGAGCTGTCGGCGCACTCAAAACAGTCATGCTCACCCACACTTCTGAACATGTCCTGGAATTCCCGCCACTGAAATTGTCCCAGGTGTTCTACTACACTACCAGCTCTTTGTCGCTATTTTGAAGTTCCATCATAGTGTTGCAGGTGGTTTTGTCCAAAGCTGTAGAAATGTCTTGTAGTTGAATCCAAAGTGGACAAAGATACTTGAGACCTGGAATGGGGGGCACCTCCGCTACCTGCTAGCAATTTCTTCAAGAAGCAGCGCCTTTTCCTGGACTGAGGGAGCAGCCACCGAGTCCCAAGAAAACACAGATTTGAATTAAGGAGCCTTGGCAACAATTGACTCAGCCATGTGTTTCCCTGAGCCTGTGGGGACCCCTTAAAAGCCAGTGGTGAAATCCATTTTTTTTTTTACTACCGGTTCTGTGGGCGTGGCTTGGTGGGCATGGCAGGGGAAGGATATTGCAAAATCTCCATTCCCACCCTACTCCAGAGGAAGGATACTGCAAAATCTCTATTCCCACCCCACTCCAGGAGAAGGATCCTGCAAAATCTCCATTCCCACTCCAGAGGAAGGATGCTGCAAAATCTCCATTCCCACCCCACTCCAGAGGAAGGATACTGCAAAATCTCAATTCCCACCCCACTCCAGAGGAAGGATGTTGCAAAATCTCCATTCCCACCCCACTCCAGGAGAAGGATCCTGCAAAATCTCCATTCCCACTCCAGAGGAAGGATGTTGCAAAATCTCCATTCCCACCCCACTCCAGGGGAAGGATCCTGCAAAATCTCCATTCCCACTCCAGAGGAAGGATGCTGCAAAATCTCCATTCCCACCCTACTCCAGGGGAAGGATACTGCAAAATCCCCATTCCCTCCAGCTGCGCTAGGCCGTGCGCAACCCCGTTCCTGGCACAAGATACAACCTTTTGCAAGATTGGAAAAGTCATCCATTTCAATGAGGGGGGGAGTTAGCATCTTCCCTTCTTCCAAAAATTGAGGGATTTTGCTTCTGTTGCTAACAGGAGAGGGAACAGACATACCATTGGGGTCTCTCCTTCTTCCTTACTTGCGTAGAGTCCCAGGGTCTGAGTCCTTGGTGATCAGGCTCCTTGTGAGTGTGTGTGTGTCTCTGTGTGTGTGTGTGTGTGAGAGAGAGAGAGAGAGAGAGAGAGAAATTATGGGTGTATGCAAGAAATGATTTTCATTTCTTCCTGCCAGTACAATCGGATTAGTTCTCCTACCATGTCAGTGATGTTTTCAGACCCAAGACAAGGGTTATTACCTCTGAAAAAACCTCCCAGCTTTTCAGTAGACTTCAGTGCCCCCAAAGAGGGGCCCTACTTTTTTTTTTAAAATCACACAAAGAATAAAACATAGGTGGCATATTTATGAAAGTGAACGTTGGATTCTTAGTTTAATGTAAAAGAGAAAAAAAAGAACATACAGCCTTGCAATTCATTCAGTGATTCTATGTGCACTGAATCGCCACAGGCAGCTTGTATTTTAAACCATGCTAATTTTTTTTTTGTTTATCAAGAAAATTGCAAACACTTTTTTCCCCCAGTCTGGCTGCATCCTTGATTGGAAATGCTGCTTCTCACTGGGGCAACATCAATCCCGCTGTAGCCAGATTTTGCAGCATGCGACATCAACATACTGCTTCCTGCTCTCTGGCAAAACTTTCAATTCTTAAAGCCTGAAACACTGTGAATGCCCGTTTTTTAACCTTCCTCTTTGTCAAAATATTTTCTCAGCTCTTGACGTTGTTGATTTTTAAAAATCTTGGTGAGATATATATATATATATATATAAAACGAAGAGAGGTTGCTCAGTTGTCTTCATTATATGTTACTGAAAAAAATGTGAGAAACTCTCCAATGCTACCAGTTTTCAGCTTTTTTTTTTGATAAAGCAGACAGGGAGCAGCTAAAAAACTTTTATTAAGGATGCTCTGAATTGCAAACTTTGGGACTGAAGATCACGCAGAGATTTTAAAACGGTCCCTGGGAGATAAGATTGACCTCACTTTGTGCTGATTGCTAACCGTTATCGGATTTTGGGACACAAGTTTTTAAACCCCTTCTGGATTCATAAATGCAAAGTACTCTAACTAGGTATGCTCTTTGTGAACCAGAAGTTGCCTCCGTTAGAGGCAAAGGATTCCCAAGGTTTATATCCTGTTTGGATGGCTCCATGCAAATGTCATGAAACAGTATCTTCTTTACAGGCTTGATTTGCCAGTAAATAGGCAAATAAATAGGTTTCCTCCTGTTCTCCATAATGTCATGTTTCTCACAATAACAGTTTCATCCCAGCAGGGAAATGTAAGCTGCAGAGCCATGGAACGGATCCATTCCAATACTAGAGATATTAATAGGCTCAGACCTGAATTGTTGGGTTCTTGAGGTTCTCATCAGGTGCTAGGACATATCTTCAGTGGGCAGCCAAGCTCAGAACAATGGTAAATACATCCTCAGACTTTTAAGAAAGGCAGGCATCGAGATGCACTGAAAAAGAGACCTACTAACCCTTTACAACAACCGTAATGAATTTGATTAGTGTGATCATGTCAAAGGCTATAAAAGTAGTATACTTTTGCAGATAATGTGTTTTGATGTGGCTGAGCGTACGTCTCCTTCCATTTATTCCACCTTTCCTTGGAAATCTTCAATACGCCACAATTTTAGTCGCGCATCAGATGTCTGATAGCTGCAGGTCCATAGCAGAAGTGGTATTCACTTACTTTCCCTACCAGTTTGCAAATGTGAGCGCACGCGCGCTGTGCTTGCACGTGGCTTCAAAATGTGCCTAAATAGGATGGCATAGCGCCAGGGAGGGTAGGCAGGCCCACCCACGATTTCCGTTACCAGTTTAGCTGAACTGGTCCAAACCGGCTGAATACCACTAGCCGAACTGATGCAAACCGGCTGAATACCACCTCTGGTCCATAGGCAAGGAAAGCTGTCTTATTTCAACATTTTCCACCTCCTCATATTCTCTCACATTCTAAAAAGTGATTAGTTTGCTTCGGCGAAGACATAAAGCTAGGACAACTAGTTTTAGGAAGCTTTGTGGCTGGTTTTAAAATGATCTTTCTTAAAATAAACCTCTGCCCCCCCAGGACACATTTTTTGCAAAAAAACAACAACCCAATATTTAATTTTTTTTAAAAAAACCTTTAAATAAAAGTGACCTGTAAAAATCCATGAAAGCATGCTAACAACATTGCTAGTTTTTACTTAAGGGGTTTAAATGTGTGAAATACTTTTAAAATAGGAAAGGAGTAATCAAAACAGCTTGACCACTAAAGAAATATATTCTTTATAAAGGAATTGATTTTTTTTTTTTTTTGTAAGCGGAATGTTTCAGCACATGTTCCAAATATAGGCAGGTTAGGAAGTTCAATTCCCAGTCAAATCTATTAAGAAATACCTCATAGGGATTGTAAAGCGTGTTCTTATTCGTTCAGTTTTGCGCTGAATGAGGCTACAAAGGAGGGTTTGTATTTTACATTGATATATTCGTTAAAAGGTACTGGTTCATTTGATCCCAGGGGCCACTTTTATATTGAAAATATTTTTCAACCAAGGCTATCCACGGCAACCGCTGTAAAAAAAAAAAATCCTATTTTAACACCAAAGTTAAAACAAACTAGGAAAGGAAGATTGACAGTAGCAGAGAATGTCAAAGAAAAATAAAATAAAAGTGAAAGCTTTTATACCAGACTTCTCCCTGACCCCAACCCCAAATGAAAACGAAGTCTGGTGTTCCTGTTCAATTGTGCCATTTTTTTTAAAAAAGCCAATCTGGGGGAAACAGTGAAGAAACTCTGAGCAAAGAGACTCCTAGGAGCTGAAGCAAGACTTGTCTCTTAAGTCAGGGTTGGGCAACTCTGGCCCCTAAACAACTTGTGGACTTCAACTCCCAGAATTCCAGAGCAGAGCCAGCCATGCTGGCTCAGGAATTCTGGGAGTTGAAGTCCGTCGGTCGTAAAGGGGCTGTAGTTGCCCACCCTTGTTCTATGTGAAGGATCCTGTGCTGCTTTTTAACCGTTGAATGTTCTTGCTTTGTTTTTGTAACTTTTAAACTTTGTCACTGTCTTGTTTTTTTTTTTTTTAACCCAAATAATACGTTCATAAATGTCTGTATGACGGTGCTTTGCAAGGATATATAATGACGACCAACATTTGGTCAGCCCAGTTCACTCGAATTGCTAAATGTTTGTACTGTAAAATAAAGAATGTTTTACTTGCAAGCTGTACATAACTCTTGTACAAAGTTCCTCATCCTTTTTTTTTTCATTTATTATTACTATAAATGGAGTTGTAATAAATACATAGGTTTTTTTTTTTAAATAATAAATTTGGTCCGAAAATCTATTCAGTGCATTGATGGCTTAGATCCGAGCTAATAAATGGAAAGAGTAAGGTATGGCAGTTAAATTAGGTCGCTGTGTAATGCATTAAGGTAGTCCTCCAGTTATGACTGAAATTGAGTGGCAATTATGCTAATAAGTGATGATAGCTGTAAAGCAGGTCACTATGTGACCAAACTTGATTTTACAACTTTTACATGGTACTGTGTTTCCCTGAAAATAAGGCCCTGTCTTATATTTTTTTGAACCCCGAAATAAGCTCTTGGCCTTATTTTCGGGGGAGGTCTTGTTATTTTGGGGCTCGTGGAGCAAGACGGGGCTCCTCTTGCCATCTTACCTGATTTCCAGTTCTGTCTCCCTAACCCTAACCAGAGGAAATGGCGGGGACTGGCTGCACATGCGGTTAAATATGTTCGGGGAAGGCTTATTTTCGGGGGAGGATTTATTTTCGTGAAGACACGGTAGTCATTAAGTGGACCCATTGTTAATGGGGTTGCCGATCACCCAAAACACCGTCATATGAGTGTGATGATACAGCGTTTGAACTTCGGATGTTAAGCTTTTTGTGAGTCCGCTGTAAATTTGAGGGCAGCCCCGACAGGCACAGCTCGACTGGCCCAGCCATGGCCAATGCTCCTTGCCCGCTGCTGAACTTGGCTGCAGGGGGCTGCCGGGCCTCTGCAGGCGGCGGCGGCAGCAGCAACACCTGCTGAACGTGTCCTATTTTCGGGGAAACACGGTACCTACTGCCCATAGTATAAATGGATTTTTCTTTTTGTACAAAAGGCATAATCTCTTTCACTGTTCACTTCCACAAAACAGCCCACTGCAATGTCACAATGCAAGTATAGGGGTGCCTATAATTATTTGTCATAATAAACAGCCAAGCTATTCCAGATACCATGTAGAATTAACTGTAAGAAACATACTACACTTTAATTTTATTTTTATTTTATTTTATTTTTTGATTTATATGCCGCCCTTCTCCGGAGACTCCGGGCGGCTTATTGAAAGAAAATGGTATTAGTAGCCAAAAAGTGTACATTCAAAGATGTGGTAAGGGTGGGATTTTCAGCGGCCTACAGATCCACACCAGAAATACAGTCCCTACATCTTAGCAGGCAAAAATTTCCTCCACGCCAGCTGCTCATTGTGTCCATTTTTTCCTTTTGGACCCCAGAATTGAATAACCACTAGAATATAATTTCACTCGAGTCTAAAAAAATTCAAACAATCTTGAATTAAACTTTTTGGCTTCCAGGTCGGTGCAGAAGACCTTCCAGGCCCAAAACGGGGTACGGCGGGGCGGGTGGGCGCAAAGCCCCAAAATGCAATGTGAGCACTACACGCGCACGCGTCCCTCGCATGCGCCCCCCCCACGCATGTATGGCAGAAACATGAAATCCAGCTGGCTGGCGGGAGGCATGCACACACGCACAGTGGAACTGGGCTGGGGCGATGTCCGGCGTGCCAGGCAACATGGCTCTGTGTGCCACTTGGGCATTCATGTCATAGGTTTGCCATCACAGTTCTATTCATTATTTTTCTGTTCTATTGATGTTTGTAGTCTGGGTTATCTTTTAGGCTTGCAAACATTTTGCTAAGTAACCTCTGTCAGGGTGCTAATTAATCCCATTCTGCTTTTGGGTAATCGCACCTTGATTTAGAGACGTGGATCGAGACTTTTCCCTTGAAGCATACTTTAAGAAAATAAACCCGAAGATATATTTTTCTAAGAAAAACTCATTTAATTTGTTATAAAGAAAATAAAACATCTCACTAATCTAAATAGTTACATTTTGGCAACGTTCCTGCCGGCCACCTCTCTGCGGCCGGACCTCTTGGCAGGAGAACAAAGAAAGTGAAGGAATGTAGGCATGCGCAGTTAGCTTAAAGATAAGAAACTTGGCAAGCTACGGAAAGTCTGAAAATCCAAAAATAAAAGCTCATCTGGTAAATACAAAAACGCAGTGACAACCTCAGTGCGGGAGACATAGAAAAATGAGGTTTGTGCGTGACAAATGCTAGACGGATCTTTCTATCATGTCAGTTATATATGATAAATGGGAAGGACCCTGGATTGCAGTTGGAAGTTGGACACGTATGACTGATCATGCGTGAATAATATCTATTATTACATTTTTATTGCATTTTGTAATATAAAATACAAATGAAAATAAAAATAAAAATAGGGAAGTGAGGAAGCGTGGGGTAAGGGGAAAAAGAAGAAAACAGGTTGGCTGGGGAATTCTGGGAGTTGAAGTCCACCCATCTTAAAGCAGCCAAGCTTGAAAAATCCTGACATAAAGGCTGGCTGATTTCTTGGAGCAGAAACTCACAAGTACTAATACCACTCTATAAAGCCTTAGTAAGACCACACCTAGAATCCTGCATCCAGTTTTGGTCATCACACTGTAAAAAAAGATGTAGAGACTCTACAAAGAGTGCAGAGAAGAGCAACCAGGTTGATGAGGGGACTGGAGGCTAAAACATAAGATGAATGGTTGCAGGAACTGGGCATGGCTAGTCTAGTGAAAAGAAGGACCAGGGGAGACATGATAGCAGTCTTCCGATATCTGAGGGGCTGCCACAGAGAGGAGGGGGTCAAGCTATTTTCCAAAGCACCTGAAGGCCAGACAAGGAATAATGGATGGAAACTGAACAAGGAGAGATTCAACCTGGAAATGAGAAATTTTCTGACAGTGAGAACAATCAATCAATGGAATAGAAGTTGCCTTCAGAAGTTGTGGGAGCTTCATCACTGGAGGCTTCCAAGAAGAGGCTGGACTGCCATCTGTCAGAAATGGTGTAGGGTCTCCTGTTTGGGCAGGGGGTTGGACTAGATGACCTACAAGGTCCCTTCCAACTCTGTTACATGTAAAAAAAACACTGACTTCCAACTTTTTTCAACACAATAGAATAAAAATAGCAAAGTACAATTTTTACAGTAGGTGGCAGCACCAAAGCCGACTTCAACCGATGGTGCGAATGTAAGCTTTGCATGCCCAGAGCCTGGGGAATCTGGAGAGGTTAGTCTGGAAAAAAAAGAAACGGAAAGCTATTTCCATCGTGATGCCAAGAACACTGCGCGGATGCGATCACCAGGGGCCGAACTCCGCTGAACAGCATTTGTCTCTTTATTCAGAAATGAATAAGCTGACTTTGGGGGTTATTTTAAGGAAGTAACCGCATGTATTAAAAGAGACAATTTGAGTCCCAAGGCTTAAAACAGGAAGCAGCACGTGCTCGGAGAATGCCAACGGTGCAGAAAAAAAGGACAGAGTCAGATATGCTGAAAGCCTTTGGCAGCCCATGGTGGGGATTTTTTTAAAAGAAAAAAAGGGCAGGGTGGAAAAGGAGGAGGGGCTTCCACATTCTCTTCATCTTCAGGAGACAAGAAACACAAAAGAGGGGGGAGGGGTTTCAACCTATTTTCCAAAGCACGGGAAGACAAGACGAGAAACAATAGAGGGAAACGAATCAAGGAGAGAAGCCGATTCTGTAAACTGCTTAGAGAGGGCTGTAAAGCAGGGGTGAAATGCAGCCGGTTCTATCCGGTTCGCACAAGCCGGTAGTGACTGCGGTGGGTGGTTTGGTGAGCCGGTAGCGCTGGCGGCAGGAGGCTCCGCCCCCCCCAAACTAGGACGTCATCACATCCCGGTTTTCACCCTCTGCGCATGTGCAGAAGCCTTCCCCCCAAACCGGGACATCATCACGATCCAGTTTTGACCCTCTGCGCATGCGCAGACAACATGGCGCATGTGATTGCAGCACGCGTGTGGCGCGCACACATTACCAAGCTGGTAGGAAAGGCAAGTGCATTTTATCCCTGTTGCAAAGCGCTATGAGCCAGCAATGTGCAGCCGCCACCAAAAAAGGCTAATACAATCCTGGGTTGTATAAAGAGGAATAGAATCAAGAGCATGTGAAGTATTAGTGCCGCTTTACAAAACCCTAGTAAGACAAATACCTGGAATACTGCAACCAATTTTGGTCACCACACTACAAAAAAAAGATGTTGAGACTTTGGAAAAAGTTCCGAGAAGAGCAACTAAGATGATCAAAGGCCTGGAGATTAAAACATATGAAGAACGGTGGCAGGAACTGGGTCTGTCTAGTCTAAAGAAAAGAAGAATTGGGGTCACATGATAGCATTATTTCAGTATTTGAGGTGCTGCCACAAAGAAGAGGGGGTCAAATTATTCTCCAAACCACCAGAGGGAAGGACAAGAAATAATGGTTGGAAAGTAATCAAAGAGAGAAGCAACCTGGAATTAAGGAGAAACTTCCTAACAGTGAGGACAATCAATCAGTGGAACGGTTTGCCTTCAGAAGTTGTGGGCGCCCCAAAAATTGTGGGATAGAAATTATAAATTGACAATGGCAACTACTTAGAAGGAAAATCTATACAAAATGTTTTATAGGTGGCATCTGCCTGCCAAATGTTGGAAATGCAATCAGGCACTGGGCACATATTATCACATGTGATGGCCATGTGCAAAGGCAAAACCTATGGAACGCATGCCAGAGGTGGCACACAGAGCCCTCTCTGTGGGCACGCGCACCATCACCAGCTGCTCCTCTGGTTTCCAGCAAGCAGATGCGCGCTGGCCAGCTAGTCTTTGGGGGGGCTGGAGCGCCAGAAAACAGCCTGAAAAATGGCTTGAAAAAAGCCCCAAAACGGCCTGAAACAGCCTGAAGAACAGCCTGAAAACAGCCCAAAAAATAGCCTGAAAATGGCCCAAAAAACAACCAAAAAGGGCAAAAAAACAGGCATGCGCGCCAGTGGTGGGTTTCAAAAATTTTTACTACCGGTTCTGTGGGTGTGGCTTGGTGGGCATGGCATGGCTTGGTGGGTATGGCTTGGTGGACATGGCAGGGGAAGGTTACT